TTGACTGCCCAATGTGAAACTGGAGGTAGGCTAGCAAACACTACCTGGTGATGAGTAGGAATTCCTAGAAACCAAAAAAGTGTTCATAAATGGATAAGGTAATTTGTTAACTTTGTAGGGCAGTGCATATATACACACACACAGAGAGAGCACATTTTAAGCCATGGGTAAAATGTGGCTTCTGGGGCAAATGGAACCTTTTTGGCATTTGAATTTTCCTCAACATTCTTACCTTATGTCATATTATGGCAGCTCCACATTTAAAAGCCATTTATAGAGCAGTAACTGCCTCTCTTTGGAGCAGTTTTGGCTTGGGGCTGTTCATCCTTTCTCACTCACCGCCATCTTATAAATCTTCCTTCTTTATGACATGCCCCACAAGACAGCCATAAAAATATGCACTCAAGAAAATTACAGCAGTTATTTTTGACTACCAAATGAATTTATTTTCACACTTTTATTTTTTTAAAGCTGTGGGCGATTTCTGACATCTTTCAAGCAACAATTTCACAATTCCTTCCCTGCCCACCCCCAAATTTCACTCCTGAAGTTCCTCAATGCAAAAAGAAGAAGGTTATTTGGTACGAAGTTGCAAGTGGGACAAGGGGAGGGGAGGGGGTTAAATATGCTCTGTTCCTGTTTTTGAAAATGCAAATAATTTTTTTTAAAAAATGCTAAAAGAAGAAGGGTATATGAGTGAAGCTGTGTGATATGCCAAGATGACGAGACTCAGAGGCTTTCCACTAGCACACTGTAAGTTTGGCATCAGGGGTTTTTTTTGGGGGGAGGGTATGTCTTTTAATAATATTCTGCTGGAGGAGCAGCCCAAAATGCTTTGCCACCTGATGGGAAACAGCAAATGGTTCCCCTCCTCCAAAGTCAAAGGGCATACTGTATTTTTCCGTCTATAAGACGCTCCTGTCTATAAGATGCCCCCTATTTGGGGGCCTCAAAATTTAGAAATAGGGGGGATTGAGCTTTTGGGGAGGATTATTTGGGGAGAATGCCGAAAATCGCTCACCTGCCGGAACGCAGCACACAACCCCTTGCGTTGCAGCTGCCTGATCTCTGCCATTAGCCCTCTTGTTTGCCACTGCGGCAACCAATACTGTAGACAACTGCCCTTGTTGCAGCAAGCGGGAGCGTGATTGGCGGCCGCAGTGGCAAGCAGGAGGGCTAATGGAAGAGATCAGGCAGCTGCAATGCAAGGGGTTGTGTGCTGCACTCTGGCGAGTGAGCGATTTTCGGCATCCCCCCCCCCCAACAATCAAGCGGCCAATCGCCACTTACAATCTTGGGCTCGCGCCAAAAAACCATTCGTACGTCCCCCCTCAGCACTACCCATGTATAAGATGAGCCTCAATTTTGAACCTCATTTTTGGGTCAAAAAAAGCTCGTCTTATACATGGAAAAATACAGTATTACCCAAGGCTGGGCAAGTTATTTTGGCACCTATGTGCAGAAAGATTCCAAAAGCACCTCTCGTGGGAGTAAAAAGACAATGACCACGTATTAAATGAAGAGCAATTTGCTGCCACTTCTTGACACTCGAAATTAGCTGCCTGAGGCAACGGCTTCACTTTGCCTAATGGTAGGGCTGCCAAGTTTTGTTGCACCTTTTTGAAGGCACTGGATAAATAAATGGACAAAGAAGGCTAAATGGAGGTGCAGAGAGCATTGTTGCACTCAGGAGGGGAGCTGATTTGGAAGCTGCCTTTTGCTGAGTCAGTCCAGCAGTCTATTTCTAACTCAGGATTGCCTCTGAATACCAGTTAATGGGGATCACAAGTGGGGAGAGCCCTGTTGTGCTCAAGTCCTGCTTGGGGGCTTTCTGTGGGGATTGGCCGCTAGGAGAACAGGATGCTGGACTAGATGGGCCACTGGCCTGATCCAGAAGGGTGCTTTTATGTCCTTAAAAGGGGCCCTTTAAGAAGGGATTGTGTTGGAGCTGACTGAATACTGTGGTACCTCGGGTTAAGTACTTAATTCCTTCCGGAGGTCCGTTCTTAACCTGAAGCACCACTTTAGCTAATGGGGCCTCCCGCTGCCGCCACACTGCTGGAGCACGATTTCTGTTCTCATCCTGAAGCAAAGTTCTTAACCCGAGGTACTATTTCTGGGTTAGCGGAGTCTGTAACCTGAAGCGTATGTAACCTGAAGCGTATGTAACCTGAGCTTCCACTGTATGGTCCCCCTTCTCCATTCTACAATAACTAATACAGTGGTACCTCGGGTTAAGTACTTAATTCGTTCCGGAGGTCCGTACTTAACCTGAAACTGTTCTTAACCTGAAGCACCACTTTAGCTAATGGGGCCTCCTGCTGCTGCTGCGCCGCTGGAGCACGATTTCTGTTCTCATCCTGAAGCAAAGTTCTTAACCTGAAGCACTATTTCTGGGTTAGCGGAGTCTGTAACTTGAAGCGTATGTAACCTGAAGCGTATGTAAGCTGAGGTACTACTGTAATCAGTTGGGATTTGGTTGGAAATGGCCGACTATTTTTTTTAATTGTATATACCTAGTTGGAGTAGAAAACGGGTTTGTTACCATCTCCTCTATCTGCAAGGAGCTCAGTCAGGTGGACTGACACATTCAGAGAAACTGTGTCATCACCTGCAGCTTGAAACCACCCAGAAGCACCTTTCCTGGTTGATTCTTCCAAATGTACCAACAGCCTTAATGCCTGCAATGAACGTAGATTCTGAAGTGCATTGAGAGCCTTCAAGAGGTTTCGGGTCCCCTCGTGTGTGATCTAAAGGCACTTCAGCCTGGCAACATTGCCACTTCTCTGCTTAGCTCCAAGAAAGGTTCGCCAGTCAATTACCCTCTCTCAGAAAGCCTTTGTGCACCTGCTTTTAGCATCTCTGTCTCCTTGGGTGTTTCTGTCACTTCAGAACCGTGTGACAGAATAAAGGGGCAGCCTTGAGTTATCTTTTCGATGCAGTTAAGCTCGCAAGAGGGAAGGGCTGTGGCTCAATGGCAGAGCATCTTCCTTGCAGATGCAGAAGGTACCCAGGTTCAGTCCCTGACAACATTCCAGGTAGGACTGGGAGAGATTCTTGCCTGAAACCCTGGAGGAGCTGCTGCCACTTAGTGCAGACAATATTGAGCTAGATAGACCAATGGTCTGACTCACTGTAAGGCAGTGAGAGCCACTGGAGAGCCAGTGTGGTGTAGTGGTTAAGAGCGATAGACTCGTAATCTGGTGAACTGGGTTCACGTCTCCGCTCCTCCACATGCAGCTGCCGGGTGACCTTGGGCCAGTCACACTTCTTTGAAGTCTCTCAGCCCCACTCACCTCACAGAGTGTTTGTTGTGGGGGAGGAAGGGAAAGGAGAATGTTAGCCGCTTTGAGACTCCTACGGGTAGTGATGATGCAGGATATCAAATCCAAACTCCCAAACTCCTATGTTCCTAAGATTATCTGTTGCTGCTTTTGCACTGCGTGTAAGGCAAGCATAACTGAACTCCTAGCCTAGCCGTGAAAATTTTGAAACTTCACAGTAGAGGTGTTTTCTATCAAGAACAGCAAGGGGAATAAGGCAGAGCAATTTAAGAGAGTGGGCTTTGGGGGCCTCAAGGTGGTAGAGTGTTACTAGATCAGGCTACTTGCAGCGGCTTTGTCTACCCAATATGAAAACAGAATATGTGGACATGGGGTTTATTTTCCACTAGCAAGGATGTCATTTTGAGTGAGCAGCAAAATAAGGAAGCCACACACCAAGTAAAGAACCAGATCTAGTTTATTCTGTTTTGTGTTTGTCTGTCTGTATAAGTAACCACAGGCTAAACAGAACACCCTACCAAAAAAAATTCAAAAAATCTAGATTTTATTTCTCCCCTTTCTTTTTAAATACAGAGCTAACAATCGTAAATTCAGTGGGATTTCAAAGAACAAGAAATGGTGATTAGAAAGGGCAGAGAAGTGCTTTGCAAGTCACAGTTATTCCTGAAGAGGGCCAAAACAGAAAGTATTTTATTTGCTTTTATGTTATCAACACTAACATGCATAGTAAGACGGTCCAGGCTTTTGGGGGTTGGGAAAGGTGGCAGACAAGCTCCCTAAGAGAGAGAGAATGTCAAAGTCTGATAAGCAAACAGGACAGCTCCTACCAGACCATTGTTTCCCTGTGGCCAGGTTTCCATGTTGCAAAGGCAAGCCACAGTCATGTGGATTGTCTAGACCAGGGTTTCCCAAACTCGGGTCTCCAGCTGTTTTCGGACTACAAGTCCCATCATCCCTGACCACCGGTCCTCTAGCTAGGGATGATGGTCATTGTAATCCAAGAACAGCTAGAGACCCAAGTTTGGGAAATGCTCATCTCGATTATTCTTCCCCAGCCTGATACCCTCCAGATGTTTTGGACTTTCATCAGCCCCAGCTGGCACCAGATTGATGTAGATATTGTAGGCTGATGTAGATCTACAACCAATGCTTCCTGGGCTACCTTTTTACTTGGCTTGCTTGTTGATGGCCAGACAAATGTATTTTGGAATTCTAGGTGTAACCTGATGCCCTCAGGACCCAATAGAGACTAACTCAATCTGCAATCTCCATCTTGGACTGAGCCTAAATGCTGGTTTTCTGGCTGCAACATTATCCTTATTTTTGTTACTTCTTTGTGTAACATCTAGCTTAATGAAGGACCCAGGAGGACAGGAAAGTGCGCTCACTATTTTCTGAAATTTTGGTTGGTCCTAATAAAGGGGCTGCAGAGTGGTGGGTGGCTTTGGTACTTCTGGGGTCTTCTTGTATCCTTATCAAAGAGTTGAGTGAAATATATAGGCAATGGGAGTGAATCTACCCCCATCCACCCCCTCACTCTCATACATGCACACACCTTTTGGCCTGATTTTCATCTTTCCGTCGCTGCTGGAGATCTCTCGGCTTTGTGCCCATTCAGAGATGTTTTGCAAAAAAGCCTAGAATCACAAAATTGTAGCATTGGAAGGGGTCATGAGGGGGTCATCTCATCCAATTCCCTGCAATGCAGGAATCTTTTGTCCAACGTGGGGCTCAAACCCACAGCCCTGAGATTAAGAGTTGTGTGCTCTACCAACTGAGCTATCCCAGCAGCCACATGTTTTAGCAACAACCCAGATGCCTTTGCTGTCCGTACCCAGTCTAAGGCTACAGTCCTATACCACTTCCCTGGGAGTAAGCCCCACTGGCCTGAGTGGGACCTCTAAGTAGGAATGTGTAGGATTCTGCAATAAATCAGTAAGCCCTTCAAACTGTGGGGTCTCCGAGCTGAAATACTCTGATCTTAAGAGAACATTTCATAAAAAATAAAACCAGTTTTGTTCCCTAACATTGTATCTCCCCACTTATTAAAACAGTAACACTCCCCCCCATGGGGGAAACCCCTGTGTGTTCCTCACCCACAGCAGGTGGATACATTGCCAAAGACAGGCATAGGCAAACTCGGCCCTCCAGATGTTTTGGGACTACAACTCCCATGATCCCTAGCTAACAGGACCAGTGGTCAGGGATGATGGGAACTGTAGTCCCAAAACATCTGGAGGGCCAAGTTTGCCTACGCCTGGACAAAGAGATGCTGGTTGTGACCACCAACTAAAGTCCCGTGTGTGCAATTCTTTTCTTTAAAGTCTCCCAGATCCTTTTGCTCCAAATCTCAAAATACTTCAAGCCCCTCCTCTTCAAAGCAATGCAGGGAAACAGCTGGTGTGCTTCTTATCATCAGATCACATTTTCCTCCACACCTGGGAGGTTGAGGCAGGGCTGAAGGTTTTTCCACTGGTGATGTGGGACGGATCTCCTTCCAAGTGCATTTAAAGGAAAATCCCTGTTGCTGGTTCTATGGAAGGGCTGTAGAGTTCAGTCCCTGGCACCTCCAGGAACTCCATTCCTGAAACCATGCAAAGCTTCTGCCAGTCACTGTAAGCAATGCTATTAAGAGGACACAGATGAGGAAGGCTATTCCGGCAGCCCCAAAAACACTGGAACATTCGCACCAGGGAGAGGAAGGAAAAATCAACAATGAAATTGAAGGAGACTTGTAAACATGTTTGCTTTCTGAAATCATCCTAGACACTGAATGCAACAATAGAATGAAGGGTGCGCCAAAAGAAGGGGAGAAATACCACCAGCAAATGCAGCACATTATGGATGTTTCCCCCTTTAAAAGCCCTTAAAAATAAACCCAAAACCCTGTGAATGCCATACTGAATTGCAACTACATTGAGCTCTCAGAAACAGGGGTGGACACAATAAACGTGTCACAGAACAAACTGAAAAGCTCCAGAGACTTGAGAAGCTTCGGGTGGCTGTCTGCACACCAGATTTATGGAAACCCATTGACTTAAAAATCAGCACGCACACGCGCGCGCGCGCGCACACACACACACACACACACACACCAGGTCTACATAGAGAATGACATCTTGATCTCTTTGTTGTTGTTCCTTATCACTTATTATTGCTGTCTTAAGATACACATTTTTACAGACTATTTCAAATCTTCCAGGGCAGTTTTCAGCATACATTCCAGCACTTTTCAGGAAAGAAAGCAAAAAAGATGACCGTTTGGCAAAGAAAAGACTTTCGACCTGGGTATTATGAAAGAACCACATTGCAACATCCGTTGACAAATTACTCCCCATTGAACGAAGGACTGTAGGCCCCAGTGTAAGTAAAAGTCACTCGTGGTTAACTTGTTGTTTTCATGAGGCTTGGTCATGGCAGAATTTCAGATGGATTGGAGCCAGTGCCCAAATTCTGCCCCTTTGAAGCAAGTGAGAGGTTTGCAAGAGCACAAATCTCCCACTCGTTTCAAAAGGGTGTTGTGCATAATGGATTGCTTTTGGGTTGTGGCCAAAGTGGATTCCCCTCCTGCCTTTTCTCCCCAAGGTAGCCAACTGTCTCCTGTGAATTCGAACGCTGATCCTCAAGAGTCATTCGAATGCCTTACAGAAAATGACTGAAAAAGTGCTCCAGAGAATTATGAGTAATTATAATAACGGAGCATTCATATAAGGCATTTCAAGTGTTCAAATGCAGTTCACACACATATTGTCCCAGGACTCGTTGAAATACCCCTATAAAGTGGGACAATGTTATCCATCTCATTGACTTGTGTAAGGCCATAGAAATGTGTGGCCAAGGTGAGATTTGAACTGGGGGCTTTGCATGAACATGTGACACACTATCTTGAGTTTCTCTCTGCAGTTTCCTCTCGCCGCAGCTGGGGAAGTGTGGCCAAATGAGTAGGCTTGCCATAGATCAGGGCCCCACCTCTGCAAGAACAGGGGCAGTGGTGTTTATTGGGTGAAAGGTGTGGAGACCAACAGTAGGGGGAGCCAGAGCCAACAGCAGGCAGAGCCACCTCTGACTACTTGTAAGTAAAGAGTCAGGTGGGGGGAGAGGCTACCTGAAGGCAGACCAAGGTTAGAAGGGCTCTATTTGTACTAATGGATCCACAGGGGGACTTTGTTAGGGCATAAAACTGGACTTGCACATTGGCATCGTGTTTTCTTCCAAATAAAATATTAGCTGTAGTGTTCTTTCCTTTGCAGAAACAATTTTTTTTCTTTTTAAAAATACTGGTCATTTGAATTGAAGAGTCCCTAATCTTCATAGCTGTCTCCCCCCTCAAATAATAATTTAATTTGCAGTTTCAGCTGCAAAGGAGCGTCCCTTCACTTCAATGAAAGGAGCCCCTGAATATGTAGCTGAAGACTCTACTGAACAGGCAAAAAGTTTCATGTGCATCACATCCGAAGCAGAAGAGGGTGCTCTAAGATGCAGCATCACGGCTGCATTAGGTGTTTTGGACTTTGTCAGTGGTTTGGTGAACACAGCTGCCAATTTGCTGGCTATTTGGATTGGAAAGTGGAAGTTGATAAAGAGACAAGACGACTGCTTTTAGCAGAATTCACCATACTCCTAAACAGGCTTGCCCAACCCATTGCCCAAAGATGTTTTTGGACTAAAATATCAATCAGTGCCACCCAACACAGACCTTCTGGATGGGGCAGGTGGGAGTTGTAGTCCAAAACACCCAGAAGGCACTCGGTTGGGCAAGGGTGCCCTGAATGACAAGGAAGCCCCCATTTCCTGCCTTGCTTGCAGAATCAGCCCCTCTTCTGCCTGTCATAAATTCCTGTGGCTATTTTGCTATGGAACTTTCAAATGCTTAAAAAAATCCCAAAACAAAAGGAAAATCCAACCATCTAAAAACAAAACACAGTGTAATAATAATAATAATAATAATAATAATAATAATAATAATAAAAACTATTTAGGGTTTCACATCCATGAGGAATCCGTTGTTTCATACCAATGGGAAGTCCACATTGGATTAAGTCATCACATTTTTAAGAAAGAAAGAAAGAAAGAAAGAAAGAAAGAAAGAAAGAAAGAGATTTCTACTTGATAGGCTACTGTAATAGCACTAATCAAATGGCACAACGTTTTCCCTTTTAATCAAAGGAAGCAGTGACAAATATTTGTTTACAATATCACAATAACATGATATTAAATTAATAGCAGGTTCATACAGCCCTGGGGATTTGGAGCCAAAACTAGTCTAAAAAGTACGTATTTTGCTTTGGCAATGATCCTTTATTTAAATCTGAGACTTCACATCGCTTACGAAGAGAGAGATCGTGTTAAAAAAAACAAATAAATCATTGGATGAGGTCGCCCTGACACAGATGCCATCAAGTGATGTACAATCAAAATAAATGTTCATTTTCTTTGTGTTTCTTAGCTATACAGTGTGAACTAAGCCATGTTCGACAGTGTGCTGGTGACAAGATGGAGGAACACCAAATACTGGCTGCATTGAGTCTAGAACGTATTGGATTCACTTATCCCCTCTTCTGGCTGTAGGAACTGGGCCTTCAGAGAGCAGGAGAAGAGGGGAAAAGAGCTTCTATTTTGAACAGAAGTTGCTTCCATCAAGGAGGCAACACTAGAAACTGCTTCTGAAGGGTTGTGAAGGGGATCAAAGTTTTTAAAAGGAGCATGGGTATATGTATGATGGTCTTAAACAGGCTTAATGGGTGTTCTCTTGACCTAGGGAATCTGTTCTGCAAAAGGGAACTGCGATAATTATTTTAAACTATGGGTAGTCAACATGGTGCTCTCCAGATGCTGTCAGACTACATTTCCCATCAGCCCCAACAAACGAGGCCAATGGCTAGGGATGATGGGAGTTGTAGTCATACAACATCTGGAGGGTACCATATTGACTACCATTTTTTAAACTTGTATCCCCACTTTCCTCCAGGGAGTTCAGTCCACTTTTTCATTTTTGCACAGAGCCAGGTTAGTCTGAGAGATGTTGGGCTGGACCAGGGTCGCACAGTGAGCTTTGTGGGTGGAGAAATATTAGAACTTGGTTCTCTGCAACTTTGGTCCAAGGATGAGGAAACTGTTGTCCCCCAGATGCTATTGGACTCGAACTCCCATTGCCACTGACCGTTGGTTATGCTGGCTGGGACTCTTGGGAGTTGGAGTCCTGCACTGCCTGGAGAGCCACAAGGCTTCCTATCTGGCCACTATGCTGTACCACACTGCAGGTGCTGTGCCATAATAGGGAATGCAAACTTGAGTTAAGGGATATTTGGGGAGGCCAGTGTGGAGCACACGGAGGTCATTCCACACAGGCATGCTGGTGGCAGTTCTGCCATGCATCCCTCCAATCTCCCCTACTTGTGCTTACATTCCCTATTCAGGAATAATCCCTAAAGAGGGCTTCTACGACCAGGATTTCTGAGGAATTCCCAGGGCTCATTTAGACAAGGGCTTTCACACAGCAGGAGAGCATCTGCCTTGCATTCAGAAGGCTCCAGGTTCAGTCCCCAGTGGCCTTTCCAGGCCGGAAATGTCCTCTTTCTGAAAGCCTGGACAGCTGCTTGACAGTCAGTGTAGACTATAGTGAGCTAGATGGACCAAGTGTCCGACTCGGGAGAAGGAAGCTTCCTATGGTCCTAGGATCCCTGGGAAAGAACCACAGTTGGTGCTAGATATGTATTTATTGGGTGGATCAGGGATAGCCAACAACAATGCCCTGCAGATATTCTCTGACAACAACACCCACCATTCTCTATTTTTTGTGAGGGTGAAAAGCTTGCTTGAGGCTAGACGGGCCAGCCTGTTTTTGGAAGAGGAGTGAAACCCTTTTCTCCACTCACTAGTCTCTCTCTCTCTTACTGCACCCTGCCACCGCTGCAGTGGTTTGCCCTCCTCTCCTGTTGCCCAGTTCTGAATAAACTGCTCACAAAAGCAACAGACTTATTCACGGACAGTTGACGCTTCTGCTGTCTTCGTCCGGTGATATTTACACTTATTAATGTACATAAGCAAAACCGTTGATGGATGGGAAGTAGGGGGCAGTGAGGGAGCTGCCAGCTGATCCCCTAGTGCTGGTACTCCTAATGGAGAATTTTGGGGTTTTTGTTTTGTTTTAATCAGCTTATTTTAAAAGACCTTAAATACCCATTGTTACCGTTAGCTGGTTTCCTCCCCCTCATCACCACACGGCCCTCTTTGATTTCTTCTGCTTCTCTTTCAAACAAATCATCATTATTTTCAAAAGAACCTTTTTTTCGATTCTTCTTTTCATCGCCATATATAAAAATAGCTATTGGAATTATTTTTTAAAAATGAAACGAAACATGAAAATGGAAGTGGTTTCTCTGGAGGATAAGAAGGCAGTCCACAGGGTTCCTGCACACATCGTTTGCTCCTTCCATGGAAGAGATGCAGGGAGCTCCCGCAGCCCAAGGGAGCCCCATAGGCATTTCACAGAGTCCTTCCGCCCATCTCAATGGACTTAGGGAAGGGGGAGATCTTTCCCCTTCCTCTCTCCTCCTGACAACGGTCACATCAGAGGGGCTCCTCATCCTTTCTTCCATAACCTTACGGCTGCTTCGACTACTTGTACTGAGGTAGGTCACCAGCCTAGAGAGAAAACACGCTACATTCTAAGGCTTCAGATATGAGGTCTATAACCAGCTGTGCCACCACCGGTGACCTAAAGAGCAACCGCCAGATTCGGAGAAGACATCTCCACAAGGAGAGAAGCTGGCTGCTGAGAAGCTCAGCCAGCAGCATCAAGTGCTTTGAGGCTTGGCAGAAGATGTCCACCATTTAGCAAACAGGTCTGGTTCACATGGACACACACTTTTGATAGCATGTGTGCTGGAACTGGAACTGGAAACTGGAACTAAGAACAAGCCTGCTGCATCAGGCCAACGACCCATCTAGTCCAGCATCCTGCTCTTAAAGTGGCCAACCAGATTAGCACCACCTCAATTCTGTCCCCCACCCTCCAAAAAAAACTGACACACACACTTGTGCGGCACTCCACATTTTGGGTGAGAAATGGTCAGCGCTAAAGCTCTGCATGCATATAGTCTCCTGCTCAAATTCTAGCATCTGCAGTTAAAAATATCTCAAACCAGAGGGCTCCTCTCTGCCTGCAATCTCCAGGAGATGCTGCCAGACAGGGCAGAGTGGGCTTGGCTTGATAGCTTACAGAAGGGAGAAACTACAGCTCATCCCAAGCATGTATGGGGAGGGCCATAGCTCAGTGGCAGAGCACTTGCTTTGCATGCAGAAGGTCCCTGGTTCAATCCCCAGCACCTCCAGTTTCACTTGGGAGTCTGAAACCCTGGAGAGTCCCTGCCTGTTATTGTGGACAGTGCTGGGCTGGATGAGCCAATGGGTCTGGCTCAGTACAAGGCATCTCCCTACATTACCTGGGAGTAGATTCCACTAAAACAATACTTTCCTCTTCTGTATAATATATTTAAGGGCAGTAGTTTAGTGGAAGGGCATCGAATTTGCATGCAGAAGGTCCCAGGTTCAATCCCAGGCCTTTCCAGGTAGGGTTGGAAAACACCTGTGTCATACCCCAGAGAAGTGTGGCCAGTCAGTGTTGACAAAGCTGAGCAAGACGGACCATTGGTCTGACTTGGTATAATGTAGCTTCTTCTATTTCTATATTTTACAGGCCTTCGTTCAGTTGCAGAGCCCTTGTTACGCATGCAGGAAGTCCCACATTCAACCTTGGAGCATTTCCCACCATGAAGGATCTCTGGTACCAGGAGAAAGACTCTTCTCCACCTGAGACCCTGAGGAGTTGCTCCAAGACAAAGGGAAAGGGTCATGGCTCAGTGGTGGAGCATCTGCTTTGCATGCAGAAGGTTCTAGGTTTAATCCCCGGCATCCCCAGGTAGGTCTGGGAGTGACCTCTGTCTGGAACACTGGAGAGCCACTTCCAGTCAGTTGAGAAATACTGGGCTAGATGGATCACTGGTCGTATGTGGCATAAGGCAAGAACTGGATGTTGGGAGTGTGGATTTCACTGACCAGCCTTATGTACAAAGTGATAGGACTGTCCTCTCTGTGATGAAATCATTTGCACATGCAATCATCACATGATGTTTTCAATCATCACTTGATGTTCCAGTCATCAAGTATGCACAGATGTGGTGAACCAGCTCTGAGTGATAAAACTGGAAAGAGAGCAGCTCTTCAGTAGTAACCCGTGACCAGTAGTTAAGTAGTCGCTTACGGGCAAAGGTTTCATCTTTAGGTGACCGGTGGCCCTGCCTTTTTTTTTTTGCTACAACCCTAACAATCTTTAAAGTTCCTTTTAAAAAAACAACAACCAAACAAACATGATATAAAAACAACTCTTGACACAGTAAACCTCTACACAAGTTAACTAGCAACTTGCCTAAAAGTCAAGTTTATAACACTAAGGGGAGGGGGGAATGTCATCGACAACCACTACTGGGGACGAATCCATGCCTGCTCATCGTCATTCCTCTTTTGGAGTCTCGGGGCCGAGCGAAGGAAGAGAGGCGAAGGAGGGCGAGGTGGTCTGACGACACAACAACATGGTTCTTCTACAAAAAAGCTTCTTGAGGTAGAACATTGCTTTCAAGGTTTTGGAAGTGCTTTACATTGGAACGATGGTGACAATAAAGGAATACTTTAAAATAAAAAATAATAAAAAGGTAACCAACAACCAACATTGTAGACATGGAGTATGAACTTCTGAGGTAGTACCACAGCTTGTACTGACCAAGTGCTACTCTACTTTGTTTTGAAAACAAAAGGAAGACACAAGATACTTTGCTTCTTCCCAAAAGACATTCAATTCCGGTTGAGGTAGGTTCTGGATTTACTCGAGATGTTAGTCCAAGTATTTTCTTTTTCTTTCTTTTTTTTCAGTAGACCTTCTTGTAGGCCTGGGGTTTTTTTTATTTTCTCCTTTTTCTTTTTCTTTTTGACACACTCGCTTTGCCTTTAAAATAGTTCGTCGGCAACAAAACATCCTGAGAATTAGAGACAGAGAGACTTGAAACACATCCGACAAAAAATGTCGTCAAATGCACCCAGAAGTTTGGCCAACCAACTTAGCACCTGAACGTTTTTTTTCTTCCTCTCCCGGAGCTAGGTTAGAGAGGAGGGCCCCGTTCCAATCTGTTTTCTCAACACATTTCACAATGGCAGATCTGTGGGAGAAGAGTCATCCTAAAGCTGCCAACGAGGGACTGAACGTTGGTGAACCAAGACGATAAGAGGTTCCCATCTCGGTGTCTTATGGAGTTGGCCAAGGAAGGCGCCTTGAGAAGCCACAAACACAGTAGCTGTAGAGCGAACAGCTGGAAAGGAATGTACTAGGAGGCCTGAGACAAGTCAGGAAGAAAAAACTTCATGGAGCTTCCGCAAGGCTGCCTACCGATATAGATATATATATATTTATATATATATGTAATAAAAAAATTAAGAAACATATCGCAGAAATCTTAAAATTGACCTGAGATTGATGAGTCGGTTTAAAGACATCGCCAGGGGTAGGGGTGTGGGGTGGGGAGTTGGTGGCTGGCGAGGTCCCGTTAAGAGTCTTCAAAGTCTTGGCAATTATCCTTCATTGGTTGGAGCTTGGTTCAAAGCTGGCTCATCTTGGCTGGCGTTGAGGAGGGGCCTGCCGGGGGCCCCCGAGGGCGGGGGCTGGAAGAGGGTGTCGCTCTCCTCTTCGATGATGCTGAAGTCATCCGGCGGAAGCATGGATGTCTGGGTTTCGTCATGTGAGGTAGGAGGAATATGGTCCAGCTGGGAAAGGAGAGTGAAAAAATGGCTATTTGAATGCCCAAGAAGAAGACTGACTGTCCTCTTAAAATATAATAATAATAATAATAATAATAATAATAATAATAATAGCGGGAGTTGCCTATCCCAGAACAAATGGAAATCATCAAGGGGCATGGCTTTGTGACAGAATACAGTGGTACCTCAGGTTAAGTACTTAATTCGTTCCAGAGGTCTGTTCTTAACCTGAAACTGTTCTTAACCTGAGGTACCACTTTAGCTAATGGGGCCTCCTGCTGCTGCCGCGCCGCCGGAGCACGATTTCTGTTCTTATCCTGAAGCAAAGTTCTTAACCTGTGGTACTATTTCTGGGTTAGCGGAGTCTGTAACCTGAAGCGTATGTAACTTGAGGTACCACTGTACATGCTTTACATGCGGAAGGTCTCAGGTTTAATCCCCAGCATCTCCTGGTAGGACTGGGAGAGTCACTTGGCTGGAAGTCTGGAAAGCTGCTGCCAGTCAGTGTAGGCAATACTGAGCTAGACTGTAGCTTCCTATGAAACTAACGGAGATTATGAACGGCTGTGGCTCAGTGGTAGGGCACCTGTTCTGCATGCAGAAGGCCCCACATTCCATCCCTGGCCTCTACAGGAAGTGCCCCCGACTAAAATCCCAGAGTGTCACATGCCTGTGATGGGCGGGGCCAGAGGTAAAAGTGGGTGCCAATTTTACAGAGTGCCAATTTTACCTTGGTACAGCAGCCTAGCTTTTCTACACATGCTCACACGCCTCCCTCTATCCTCCAGGCAAAAAAGAGGTCAAGGAGACATCTCAGCCAGACCAAGACATTCAAGGAGGGTGCAAAGCAGGGCTGGCGGGGTGTGGAGCCTGGAGAGGGTTCCAGGGGCCAGGCTAAAAGGTGTGCAGGGCCGCATTTCCTCCCTAGCCCCGAGGTTCACCACTGCTGTCTGAAAGTGTGGCAAACAAACAAAAGCCCCCAGTGTCCCTTCCTTACCACAATCTCCTTGTTGTGTTGATCAGGCGGGGGAGGCGAGGCTGGAAAGAGCCTTTCCAGTTCATTCAAATCCAGCTGCTTCCCGTTTGCGTCTGGGTTGTCCCTGTCCCTCTGAGCAGATCCGTTCGAGGTCAAGCCTGCAGCATTCCTCTGGCTTCTTGGGACCTGTGGGGTTGACAGCTGCTCCTGGACATCTTTGCACACCAGCAGCCTGTGGAAATAAGCGAAAGAAGAAGAACAATAAAACCCTCTCTAGCAATGTACCATCATATGAACAGGAAGTCACCACACTAGACGTCCACGAGAAGGGGAGAGCATCTGTTTCACATGCAACAACTCCCAGGATCAATTCATTGTGCTTCCAGGTAGAGTCTTCGGGGTTTCAGGCAAAAGAATTTCTCAGCCCTGCCTGGAAAGCCCAGGAAGACCATAAGCGTGTAAGAGATGTCCTCTAGCCCTGAGCTACAGACCTTCCAAATCTGAGTTTCGTCCTCTCCCTACACACAACATGGTTCTAGCAGAGTGCTATGGACATCATATGGACGGGATGCTTATAGATGTAGACTTTGTTTGGATAAATATATTGACATTTGGAAGGTGTCTATACAGAATATAGGAGGTTATTAAGAACCATTTATGTATTAGAACAATAATATTACTCTATATAATAATGTATGGAAATGTAACACATTGTAGTTACTGTATCATATTATATATTTCTTACTGTATTTTTTGCACTTTTCTTCTCCCTCTTTTTTCTTTTCTATAACCGAAATTCTTTTAATAAAATATAAGTAATAACAAAGAAGTGATGATGGGTGTTGCAGACCTATGTTTTATCTCTCTGCCTCCACCCCGACCCCAGGTTCTGAGTTTTCCTTCCAAACTCCCTCTCATTGCAAAGCTTAGTGGGGCAACCCAAACATGCAAACCTCTCCAGGTGGTTTATAATGTGTGGGGACCTGGGAGTTTCATAAGAAAAGTTGTGAGACCCCCAAGGCAGTAGATTCAATGCCTAAGGCATCCATCTCCCATCAAGTGCCCTGCAGATGTTTTGGACCACAACTCCCATCATCCCTGACCACCAGACATGCTGGCTAGGGCTGATGGGAGTTGTAGTCCAACAATCTCTAGACTGGAGGAGGTTGGCCTAAAGAATGCTTGTCCTGCTGCTCTGGAATATGAAAGCAGTCCACCCACCCCAAACACAATGAGTGGAGAGAGAGCCATACCTTCCTCGGTACCCAAACATGAGGAAGAGGACACAGAAGATGATGCAGGTGACTCCAATGTGGATCCCAATGATTATCCCAGTGGCCGACGTCTTATTGGTTTGCCCATCCTTCATGCAGTTGCACGGTGGGTTCAGCCCTGGGATGAAAAGGAAAGGTGTAAGTGGGAGGCAGGGCTCCATTAGGCATGGAAAGTTGTCAGTACAGGACTGTCTAGGCTGGCTGGTGGTGGCCCTCTGGGTTTCAGAGAGAGAGAGAAAGAGTCTCTCCCAGTCATTGAAAATTGAATCAGGGACCTCCTGCACGCAAAGGAGATGCTCTACCACTGAGTTAAAGCCCTTCCCCCTAAAAATAAATTAAGATGCTAATCCTTACAGTTCTATTAAAAAACAACAACCCTGAATTAAATAGGAAGCTGCATTATACTGAGTCCAGCCAGAGATCCATCAAGCTCAGTAGTGTCCACATTGACCAGCAAGAGCTCTCCAGAGATTCAGGCTGGAGTCTTTCCCAGCCCTACCTTGAGGATGGAACCAGGGACCTTCTGCATGCAATACAGGTGCTCTACCAGTGAGCTATGGCCCCCTTCATTCTATGCAAGCTGCCAAATGCTGGACCTCATCTTTTGCAACAGCCATCCTGCAGAGTGAGGACCTCTGAGCAAGAGGGCGGTGGGATCTGGAATTCCGGTGGTTTGGGCCTCTTGCAGTGAGCTGGTCAGGGAAAGGCTTTGAACCCAGGAGCAGGACAAAAACATAGGATGGAGAAATGAGTTAAGGCAGTTCACACAGGGGCGGAGGGGGGTGGGGAGCAAGTAGCAGGCTTGGCAAGAAACATGCAAGGTGTGGGAAGGGGAAAGGAACAGTCAGGGACACAGAGAGGAGCAAAACTGGTGAGTAGGGAGGGGATTAACTGCCCAGGAGAAGTTTAAACATGGCCAGGAAAAGTCAGGCTCCTATCAGTGGGCAGGAGGTGAAGCACAGCAAAAGGCTAGGCCTCAGCCATTTGGGCCCTTTGTTTTTTCACAACAGAAAGTGGCTCAGAGGAGAACGCTCCAGCCAAGCTCCCTGGCAACCAATGGGTCGGCTGATGGGAGCTGTAGTCCACAACATCTGGAGGGCACCAGGTTGGCAATAGCTGCAGCACTCTGGTGAAAAGGTATCACTCCACGGGGTAGGAGAGAGGAGGAAGGAAGGATAGCCTGCTGTTATAGAGCCTTCTCCTCCACCTAGTGATTTGCAAACTCCACATTCTCTTTCCTGCCGCTGTCAGTAAGGTATAGATGAAAGGGAAACCGGCTCTCACTTTCAACTCCAGCAACGTCCCCCTCCCACTTTGTTGTAACGGCATGACTAATGGTGTCGCTAAACCAATTCCAGACCAGAAAGAAAGAAAGAAAGAAAGAAAGAAAGAAAGAAAGAAAGAAAGAAAGCTTTGTCAAGGATCTGCTGCAATTTCCAGCTGAGATTAACATTTATTGTGAAAAGAAAAAAGGAACCTGATCACAAGGGGGATGTTGTCCCTAGAAGGATAAGTAAGATGGTTCTCAAACATAAACCACTTTTAGAAGATGTGTCCCAAAACAAAAGCAACGCTTGAACAGAGCCACAGAGTTTTACCAAAAGCAAGATTTAGAGGGGAATTTGGATGCTCCTGCTTGGGTAAAACATTGAAACATCTATTATTTATTTATTTTATTATCACTAATTAAACCTATTAGCATTTTCTTCTTCTTCAAAAGTAACTCAAAGTGGCTTGCAAACTTCAAGCTTGATAACTTGCATCAGAGCAGCAACGTGGGGAAACTTTCAAGATACTGATCTCCCTCTCTGTAAAACAACTTTCTTTTCTCACCAACACCCCTCAGCCAGAGCCTCCCCAACCGTCTTCAAAGACCATCTCCCTCAAGGCTGCTCAGGGCCGCCTGCCCACTCACCTGTTCTTTCGACAGTCTCTCGAAGGGACACAAAGCGAACAGTGGCATTCCCATCACCATGCTGGTTGTAGGCGAGAAGCTTGACTTCGTAGACTACTGATGGGTCTGGAGGAAAAGGAAAGAAGAGATGTCGACCTGTGCCTAAATGTGGTTAGACCTGCTGTGCTCACTTGCTGTGCACCAGCTAGACTGGTGACTGGGAGCGGCCGCCAAGACATTGGCTCCCAGTACATTTCCGAGCACAATTCAGAGTGTTGGTGCTGACCTTTAAAGCCCTAAACTGCCTCGGCCCAGTATACCTGAAGGAGCATCTCCACCCCCATCGTTCAGCCCGGACACTGAGGTCCAGCTCCGAGGGCCTTCTGGTGGTTCCCTCACTGCAAGAAGTGAAGTTACAGGGAACCAGGCAGAGGGCCTTCTCAGTTGTGGCGCCTACCCTGTGGAACACCCTCCCATCAGATATCAAGGAAATAAACAACTATCTGATGTTTAGAAGACATCCAAAAGCAGCCCTGTTTAGGGAAGTTTTTAATGACTGGTGTTTTAATGTATTTTTAATCTCTTGTTGGACGCCACCCAGAGTGGCTGGGGAAACCCAGCCAGATGGGCAGGGTATAAGTAATAAATTATTATTATATTATTATCGCATTTAAAGCAGGTTGGGGGAGCCTTTTTACAGCCAGAGGGCCACCTTCCCAGTTGGGCAGCAGTCCACGGGCCACATGCCAGCAATAGGCTGGTCCAGAGGCAAAAGTGGACAGGGTACCAGATGTAAATGTTACCTTTCGTACAGGAGGCTGGTTTCTACAAACGCTCGTAAGCGCCGCCTCAAGCTTCCGTCCAGTGAAGCAGGAGCTCAAAAATGCTCAAGGAGGATGTGAAGCAGGGCTGGTGCAGAATGGAGAGCGGGATGTGGTCTGGGGAGAGTCCCAAAGGCTAGATAGGGAGGCTGGGAGGGCCACCTGGGAGCATCTAAGATGCTCCCAGGTGAGAGCTGGGAGGGTACAACCTTTTCCGTATGGGACAAAACTTAAGATACATCTGTGAGACAGGACTCTGCATTCTTTTATCCTTTCCCTTCTCTTTCTTTCCTTCTTTGGTTTATTATTTTTTGTTTAGATTAGTTTTTTTATTGTACTATGAAAAATCTTAATAAAATTTTATTATTGACAGTGCAAAAAGAAAGAGTCCTGTCTAAGGAAGGCAAGTCAGATGTTGGCAGCCCTGAATGGTGGTGAGGAACAGTGAACTGGAGAATGCAATACTGACAGGAGTAGATTAGGAAGAGGTGGGTTTGGCAACTCCAGTGGGCCTTCGTTTATTCTATTAATTAAATGTATATTCTATCCTTCCCTCCTTCCCCAAGGAACCCTGAGGCGCAGGGTTCTAACATTTTCTCAGCAGCGCTAGGGACTAGTTGCTTGATTACGTATTTATCTAACTGTTTTGACGCCTGCTTTGCACAGCTACTGTGCTACGTATTGACGTTTTCGTTCTGTGTCACAAACCACCTTGTAGCCTTTTGACGAAGGGCAGTACATAAATTTAACGAATAATTGTAATAATGGAAATGACGCTCACCAAGCTGAGTAATGTTGCAGGATGTGACGTTGCTGGCCAAAAACATGGGCCCGGTAAAGTGGGGAAGGTGGACTTTGCGGTAGTAGAGCTTGAACCCTTCATGCTGGCCCAGTTTGATGGAGGGCTCCCACGTGGCCTGGATGGTGGTGCTGTTGAGGACTTTGATGAAGAGAGACGGCATGGCCGGCACTGGAACAAAGCCACAGAAAGAGATAAGGTTCGTTTTGCCCTTTGATTCCTTTTTTTACCCCTTTGGTTCCCTTCCCTTGGATTCCTTATAAGCCAGACGAGTCATTCTCAAAGCCCCTCGTGCTTTGGTTTTAAAAAAGATGAAGGCTGAGGCTGATGGGAGTTGTAGTTCAAAAATCTTTAGGGTACCAGTTTGAAGAAGGCTACATAAATCAACCACTGGCCTTGTGATGTTTCTTACCGTAGTCAGCCATGGTTTATTCTGAACCAGTGACCCTTAAATGTGGGGTAAAGGTAAAGGTAAAGGGACCCCTGACCATTAGGTCCAGTCGTGGCTGACTCTGGGGTTGCGGCACTCATCTCGCTTTATTGGCCGAGGGAGCCAGTGTACAGCTTCCGGGTCATGTGGCCAGCATGACTAAGCCGCTTCTGGCGAACCAGAGCAGTGCACAGAAACGCCGTTTACCTTCCCGTCGGAGCGGTACCTATTTATATACTTGCACTGGTGTGCTTTCAAACTGCTAGGTTGGCAGAAGCAGGGACCGAGCAACGGGAGCTCACCCCGTCGTGGGGATTCGAACCCCCGACCTTCTGATCGGCAAGTCCTAGGCTCTGTGGTTTAACCCACAGCGCCACCCGCATCCCTTCAAATGTGGGGAGCAGCCATCAAAACGGTGTTTTGGAGACACTATGGAGCTCAAATGGGTTTTCTAAACACAGGGGCAGATCCAGCAAAGAGACTGACTTGTAAATCAAACTGGGACAGAGGGGCTGAGCTAATGATTAACAGCACCTGCTCATCCATGACGGGAGATGGAGCTTAAGATGGAAGCAAAGTTGTTGTTTTTCAAAACACACCCACACACACTTTAGAGCTTTGTGTGGTGGGATGGTGTCGAGCATCGAAGAGGTATGCGTAATTTATTAGCGTGTGACAAGACCTGCAGCCCTTAACTCACAGGAAACGTAGTGCCCTGACTTCTCAAAGCTCCAGAAAAACATGAACTTTATGAGGCAGAAAGCTACTGCCTTGAACTGCAAGGTTTTAGGTCAAGGTTTTTAAAGGTTTTAAGCCTTGTCAATCTCTCCGCTTGAAAAAGGAGGAGGCCAGGTTAATGGGTGGTTCTATCCTAGAATGCTGAGCGAAGGGATCTGGAAAGACGTGGCCGTTGCTGGGTGCCAACCATCTCAAGGGGCTTTGTGGGCTCTTTGCTCAAGTCATCCACAGCTGGCAGGGCTTCTGTGCAACCCTTGCATTACAAAGAAGGTCAAGCTCTGTTGGCTTTTATGCCATTATAGGAATTTTTAGCACTTTGGTTTTACGAGGTCTTGTTGTACGGCAGGTTTATTGTTGTGTTTGTGTATGTTTGGATCATATATTGTAAGCCGAGGGCTCCTTTGGGGGCTGTGTGGCATGACTGAAATGCCAAAATAATTGAAAAAGGAAATAACAAAAATGTCACAAGCTGCTGCTACAGTGGCTTAACAATGTGGCAGCTATTTTGCATCCTACTGACATCCGTGACCTATGATGGAAGGACCCAGGCAGACTTCCTGCAGAAATCCTCACCATTTTGGTTGCATGTATGTCTTTCCTTGTGATGGCTCATGCAACTTGGTTCACTTGCTTGAGCTATTTGGGGCACTCTGCTCTGCTCCTTGCTGCCACATGGGTTGCTGACTCCTGCCCTCTGAGTTCACTAGTGAATCTGCATGCTTTGTAATTCCATGCAGCCTCAGAACCTGGCATCAGATACAGCAGTCACCAATCTGTGATCCTCTGCTGTCATTTAAAAGCAGACAACAACCAGTAAACAAATTTCTAGCTGTTAAGGTTGCATAGGAAGAAACTTGTGCTGGTGGTAGTAAAGGAGACAATAATTTATGATGTTCCAAATAAGAGAAGGGCTGTAGTTCAGCAGCACAGTGTCTGCTTTGCATGCAGAAAGGTCCCCAAGTTCAGCTGGGGCTGGGACTGTCCCTGGCCTGAAACCCTGGAGAGATGCTGCCAGTCAGAGCAGACAATACCAAACTAGGTGGACCAGTGTTCTGATTCAGTGTAAGGCAGTTTCCTATGTTCCTAGTCAAGTGGGTGGGGAGTTTCAGCACCCTGGAGAGCACCTCACCCTTCCACGTGTCTAGCAGATGAGTGCAGCACTTTTCACGAAGGTCCTAGGTAGCACACAGCGGGTACCAGATTGCACCTGCAGGCTCTGGCTATGCCACTGAACCTCCTGTGTGTTCAGTGCAACATCCGTAAAGACTGCACATACAGCTGCGCTTCACAGGAGCAACTTACCAGCTGTGCAGATACTGGGAGCAGGAGCCGTGAGGAGTTTGATGGGCAGGCGAGAAATGTACTGTGATTATCTAGTTATTTATGATTTACTGCACTGACGCCTTTTTCTTGTTCTCCAAGGTGACATACATGGTTCTCCCCCTCCTCATTTAATCCCCACAACAACCCTGTGAAGTAGGCTGGACTCAGACACACAAAGTGGGGATAGGCGTCTTGGATTCCCAGGTCCTTGTCCAACATACTAACCACGACATTGCATTGGCTCTCTAAAATATAATAGATTGCATGTTGATATTAATAAAAAAAACTTGGGCCACATAAAACAAAAATTAGCAGATTACTTTAGAAAAGGGATATGAATAATAAACACATCAGAAATTGACATGAATTTGGGGTGTGAGATTGATAGGCAATGGAAATAAATTGAACCATGGGACGAGCTAGTCACACATGAAAATGCTTTATACCCAATCAGACCATTGACTCATCTTGCTAAATGCTGTCTGCTCTGACTTGCAGGAGAAGAAGAAGAAGAGTTTGGATTTGATATCCTGCTTTATCACTACCTAAGGATTCTCAAAGCGGCTAACAATCTCCTTTCCTTTCCTTCCCCACAACAAACACTCTGTGAGGTGAGTGGGGCTGAGAGACTTCAGAGAAGTGTGACTGGCCCAAGGTCACCCAGCAGCTGCATGTGGAGGAGCAGAGAAGCGAACCCGATTCACCAGATTATGAGACCACCACTCTTTACTACTACACAACACTGGCTCTCTGAGATCCCTGAGAGCTCAGGCAAGGGGATTTCCTGGTCTTGCTCATAAGAGGCTTTTATCGAGAGGTGTCTCGGATTGGACCTGGGACCTTCCAAATGCAAACTGGGTCCTCTGCCACTGATCTGAGTTCCCTTCTACAGCCTAGCAGGATGTTGAGCTTGAAATTCCATTTCTCTTCGGCCCTTTTATTCATCCTTACCTTCTCCTAGCGTGCTCACCACCACCACGTCAGAGGCCTTGCTTGCCCCCCGAGAGGTATAAGCCTTTATGTAGAAGCTGTAGCTCATGGAGGGCTCCAAGTCAGTCACAAGCTGCTGGAATGTATTTTTGCTGACGGCTTCCTGGTACTCCATCTCCACAGGGTCTGAAATGCAAGGGGAAGGCGTAAGAACATAAGCGGAGCCTGCAGGATCAGGCCAAGCAGGATCTAGATCAGCATCCTGTTCCCACAGTAACCAACCAGATGCCTCTGGGAAGCCAGGAAGCAAGATTTTTGTATATACTTATATTTTATTGAAGAATTTCAGTGGACAAATAAAGTGAAAGAAATGAAAATGAAAATGTGCTTGGAACTGGAATACAATACGATATATAAGTAATGTTATTATTACAAAGCGTATACAATCATTAACATGCCTCTATAATTTTTATAAATGCATTCCAAATATCATGATATTTATCCATGCACAATCAGCTTCTATTTCTTCTTTTAATTTATTTATTTTATTTTGACAAAGTAATAATCATAAATAAATAAGAATAAAAATGTGCACCCCACCACCGAGACTGTTCCATTGCAACTATCCAACCTCCCAAAATTTCAACACCTCTTGAGATGGTTTGACCCCTTTCTGTTTTAACAGTACATATTCTACAAACACCCTCCATATCTCCTCAAAATCATTTCTCCTGCATATTCCCCATCTTACCTTAATGGCACATGTTAATTTATCATTAATAACTGTATCCCACAACTCTTTATACCGTTCTTCCATTTTATATTCTGCTTGCCCCTTCCACTTCCTACCTAGCTATAATAATTCGTGCAGCTGTCAATAAAGCACGGTCAGCTTCTAAAAGCAATCTGTTCCTAGGTTGCAAGACTCTTATTCTATCCACTGATCAAAGCAAGCATGATTTCTATTTCAGATACTGGGAAAGCAAGACTTGTGATTCCCAGCGACTTTCCTTCAGGGCAGACTGCCTTTTTGACATCTCTGAAATCCATCTGGATTTCCTCCTGCCGTCCAGCCATCCAGATCCTGAGCATAAGAGCACCCTCCTCTCCATCTGGCACTGTTTGCAGCTCTCAAAAATCTAGATACAGAGAGTGAGGCCATGTTCCAGTTGTAGATTGCCAGCCCCAGGATGTGGCACGATGGCAGAGGTGTGCCTGATGCCACTCTGTTCACTGTCAGGAGCTTGGCACTGCTCCCTTGCTTCCTACGTCACCAAACAAGGCATTCTGGCAGTTCCAAGCCACAGACCTAGTCTCTTCCCAGGAGACAAGCGATCCAGGAAGGTCACCTGGTGAAACTCAAGATCTGGGAAGCTAGTCGTGGAGGGCAAGTCTCCATCTGAGCTCCCAGAATGCTTGACTGTTGTCTTCTGCTTGGAGGGAGTCACTGTGTGGTGTGGCTGTGGGGTGCTGGACCTCGCCACTAGATGTCAGGGCATGTCTACACTACAATCATGGGTATTTATGTATTTACTTTATTTCCTTTCTCTATCTCTCTCGCCCCACTTCCCACCCTTAGCAATGTCAGCTTACACATGATGCCAGCGTGATAAAAATAAGATAGGCACAGGAGAGCCAGTGTTTAGTGGTTAGAGGGTCAGAGTAGGACCTGGGAGATCGGGGTTCGAATCCTCACTCAGCCATGAAGCTCACTGGGTGACCCTGGGTCAATCACTCACTTGCAAACCCACCCTACTTCACAGGGTTATTGTGAGGAGGAGGAGGAGGAGGATGGGGAGGAGGAGGAGAACCATTCATGCCATCTCTTTGGGGGAAAAGCAGGATATAAATATAATAAATAAAACAATGCACACATGCCCCCGAAATGTAAATCAGTGACCTTAAATCAGTCACCCAACTCCCAGGCCTAACCTATTTCATAGTGTTGCTGTGGGGATTGAATGGGTCTACTCTGAGGAGCACTGGCACTGGCTACAACCCAGTATGATTATATTGATTATTTGTTTATTATAATTATTGCATTTTTCTCCAAGGAGCTTGCGGTGGCATGCATGGTTCTCCCCCTCCTCATCCAATCCCCACAACAACCCTGTGAGGTAGGTTAGGCTGAGAGACAGTGACTGGCCCATGTCACGCAGTGAGCTTAATGGACAAGAGGAGATTTGAACCCTGCTCTCCCAGGTCACAGTCCTACACTCTAACAATTACATCACATTTTTAACACTATTGCTATAACTGTGAGCTGCATTGAGCTCAATATTGTTGTTGGAAAAGAGACATGCAAATACTAAACAAAACAAAACCACAGCCCTGCATCCTGCCCTGTGAGAATTTCACTGACATTTGACAATTTTTGAAGGCAGCTTCCAAGGAGGAGCAATTCCAAAGAGCATCTCTTTGCCTATTGTTCCATCCTGGAGATCCCGACAGCTGGGGGGAAGGTGGAGTGTACAAGAGAGCAGTAACTCTGGAGGCTGAGCCTCACACTTTCCACCAGTCAGGATAGCCCTCATAGGCTCCCAAACTACACAGGTGCCCAGTGCCACAGAGACCACCTTTACCCTAAAGACTGAAAGAACAAGCCTTGCGGCCATTTCTGAGCTCATCGCCACCACTCCTGCCTATAATTCCTCATTGGAGGTGATCACCAGCGTCCTTCCCCTTCCCACTCCCACTGAGCAACCCACCAAGGTTGGGCACTATACAGCTCCCCACCCTCTCACCGCCACCCCTGCCATGACAGGACATTGCGGAATAATTTTTCAGCACAGCGCTCATATCAATGCCCAATGGACTGTTGCCGCCTCACCTGCTGCTCTCCTGATGTGTAGGACGTAGCCGATGATCTCCTTGGTGTTCTGCAGAGGCTCACTCCACAGCACTTGGATGGTGGTGGCCGAGACGGTCGTGGCTCTCACCTTCTGGGGCGGGCCAGGCAGCCCGTCGGCCCACAGCACCGTCAGCCTGGCGCTGGCTTGGGTGGAGCCAGCACTGTTCTCCGCAATGCACTGGTAGATGGCCTCGTCCGCCTGGCCGATGCTGTAGATCGTCAGCGTGCTGTGGGGAAACCCAGCAAGGCCATCGGGATTAGCGCTTTCCAGCAACGAACCTAGAAATCCCCCAGCCCTTTCTCCCTCCCTCCATCCTTTGGCCAGCCATATCTAGGTTAATCCTGATGTGTCTGAAGAGGATGTAATGAAAGGCTAAGGCTGCTTAGTGGGAATTTCACTACAGCTCCTCCCTCTTTTGGCTCTGGCAGTAGAGGATTGTTGCCTGGGATGGAAACCCGCAACCCAGTCGGGAAGTACCATATGGATTATGTTAAAGGCTGGGGGAGGGGGAAATGAGGAGGTGATACTGGTGGCGGCATTATCCAGCTCTGATAATCACACAGCTCAGCTCTGCCTTGCATTAAAGAGACTAGAGCCACAAGCATTTAAAATCTCAAGGGGAAAGGGCAGATTCCCAGAGGAAAAGTAGGTAAATGCCCATTCATACGATTGTGTTTTGCACCTGGTGGATGTGCCGACAGTGCAGCGGAGTGCACATGCAGCATACATATGCACAGAGAGACACCATGACATCTGCATCAGGCATCTCTTCCTATATGCATAGAAATGCAAGGCTGTCATCGCACAGCCCCCGTTGGAGGATTTGTAATGCTGCACTGCAATCCTGGATTTGAATGAAGAGAAGCCCGAAAGGTCAAGAAAAGCAAGCTCAGATGTTGCATCACATGTGCATTGATGCAGGTAGGCCCACACCCCCACACCCCCAATTTAAAAATCATGATCACAGTATGACATTTGTATCCCACTTTTCCTCCAAGGTGCTCAAAGTGGCACGCATGGCTTTCCTTTGTGTTCCTAAGTGTGCAAAACACCTCACGTACATTGTCTCAACAACCTTTACAGCAAGGGTGAGAACATTAGGCTCACCAATATATTGCTTCCAGCTCACATCATTCTTCCGTATTGGATTCTAGCTCACATCAGCCAGCATGGCCAATGGCTTGAGACAATGGGAGATGGAGAACAGCAACATCTGGAGGCCCACAGATTCTCTCCCTTTGCTGTACAGGGGTTCCCCATTGGGGTCCTTGAAACCCACCCAGGACAGAGATATCAAAACTTTCAAAAGCAGAGGGGTCCTTGGCTTGGCTTTTGAAAAAGAGGAGGTCCGAAGTACGTAGCTAATTGGGAACCATTGCATTGAAGTCTAGAGACAGCAGTGGAGAGAGTCCAGTGATCAGGGGAGCCACTGAGGCAGGTTCATGGCTGTCCTGGGGTTGGAAGTGGAGGCTTTCAGCTCATCACTCTTGCTCTCAAACACTCCATTACCTGAGCTGGCTGAAGGGAACTGACTGCTTTGCAACTGCTTCCATCCCAGGGGGAGGAATAATTAAACCAAGCTTCACAAAAATCAGCGCCACACTTGACTATTGATGAAAGCCTGAACAAGACTATGCCCTCCTTGCCAGCCATTGCATGTTTAAAAACACATTTTCCAATGACTGTCCGCTTTCAGCCATGGGAAGAGTGAGCCAGTCAACAACTGCTCTGCTTTTTTGCAAGCTCTGACATGCTGACTTTGAAAAAATCGGGCTCAGAACAAAGAGGTTCGAACGACTGTGATCAACCGCTTTGCAAGAAATCACAAGTGACCTTCCAATACTTGATCTCCCACAGGTCTCCGAGCCCCTTTATCCACACCGTGTCGTTCCCTATATTCTGATTGCAAGGAGCAGGCAGCTTCTGAAGCTAGAATTAAATGGTGCTGAGCTTGCTCAGACCTCAGTGTGGCAGCTCAAGGAAAGCTGCACATTTAAATTTGCTCAATCTACTCACGTCACAGCGTAATTGCTACTGGATTAAAATGAGCATACTTAGAATCATAGAATCACAAAATTGTAGAGTTGGAAGGGACCTCATGGGTCATCCAGCCCAACCCCCTGCAATGCGGGAGCCTTTTTGCTCAATGTGGGTCTCGAACCCTTGGCCCTGAAATTAAGGGTCTCATGCTCTACAAACTGAGCTATCCCACAGGGGATGCTGCCTTATACCGAGTCCAGCCCTCAGAACATCTGGCTCAGTATGGTCTACACTGACTGGCAGCAGTTCCCCAGGGTTTCGGGCAAATAACTCTTCCCCAGCCCTACCTGGAGATGCTAAGAATTGAACCTGGCACCATCTGCATTCCAAGCAGATGTTCTCCCACTGATCTGGCACTGCAGGGCTTTATTTCTGCACATGCCCCTTTGCAGCTATTTCCTGGCTACACACTGTAGGATGAAAAGAGGCAATTTATCCCCACAAATGCTTCCTTGTCACTGGGGCCAAAATTTGGACCTTTCTGCCTGCTGGTCCATTCTCTCCTGCTCTGCAAATGCCCAGAACCAAAATGACCGATGAACAGATGCTTATTCTACCCCCCTCCCATGTGCCAAGAGTCCATGTTTCCTTGGAAACGTTAGCAAGAGGTTTGGCTGGTGGGGTGATTTTGGTGGACTGGCCATAAGCTCTCCCTGTTGCCACAGATTCAACATATCTGATTAAGTTGCCAAGAAGACAAGAAGGAAAGAAAGGTCATCAGAGGCTGAGGGATGAGGTTGGGGACAGGAGGTCCCTAAGCCTCTTCTTCGCTCAGGGACAGATGGAGGAATGGAGGAATCTGTCAATTTCAGTTTCTCTAATCTTACATTTGGTTCTCTGCATGTTCATATCAGTTTGCGCATATATATAATCTGCATGAAAATCCATCCGCATTTTAGTGAGAAGTTCTCCTAAAATACATATTTTGGCAACACAACTTCCTCCAAATGTAATTCATTTCTGAATATTATTTTCACTAATATATGCATGTTTGTGTATTTTACCTTAGAATTCAGGTGTGTTTTTGTGCACATTACTTGGCAAGAGAACATCACTCCAAAAGTCGTATGGCTATGTTTCAGTTTGCATATTGTTTGGAGAAGTGGGAGTTAGGTAAAGGTAAAGGTAAAGGTAAAGAGACCCCTGACCATTAGGTCCAGTCGTGGCCGGCTCTGGGGTTGTGGTGCTCATCTTGCTTTACTGGCTGAGGGAGCCGGCGTACAGCTTCCAGGTCATGTGGCCAGCATGACTAAGCCACTTCTGGCGAACCAGGGCAGAGCACAGCATTCCCGCCGGAGTGGTACCTATTTATCTACTTACACTTTGACATGCTTTCGAACTGCTAGGTTGGCAGGAGCTGGGACCGAGCAACGGGAGCTCACCCCGTCACAGGGATTCGAACCGCCAACCTTCTGATTGGCAAGCCCTAGGCTCTGTGGTCTAACCCACAGCGCCACCCGTGTCCCCCAAAGAAAAAAGTTAGGTAGGTTCACCTTTAAATACACAGATGTCACCAAAAGCCCTTGAGGGGGTGGGTCAGGGCTGCCAAGGGGTGTAGCCTAAGACAGTTGTGAGTGGCAGATGGAGAGGTCTAGAGGGTTGTATATGGGGAGGCTCCCAACTTCAGCCCGCACCCTAACTCAGCTTCCATTGGGAGTGTCCTGTGAGCAGAGTGCTGCTCGTGGGATGCTACTTCAGAACGGGGGTGGGAATTTTCATTTATCTCTCTTCCTCCCTGCATTCCTTTTGCCCCTCAAAAACCTGCTCTAGAGAGCTGGGAACCACAGCGGGGCCATATCCAACACAGCTCTAAGCTAAAGTCACGTAGGAGAATCCTTGTTCCGCTAGCAAAATGTTTTGTGCCTGTGGAACATGGCTGCACAAACCATAAGCAGGTTTCAGGGGGCTGCGTAACAGAAATGCACCACCAGCTGCACTCTAAGTTTCCGTTCAAGAGGAAGGGAGCTCTCAAGAGCAAGTCCTGCAACACTAGGAGACCAAATCCTCACAAATGTGGAACGAACACTGTGTGGCACTTGTAAAATTGCAAGCTGCGGTAGAACAGGCACAAATAATATGAGTGTTTGGAAGAGACGGGCAGGCGGCAGGGCTCCAAAAAAGAGAGAAAAGAGCGGGGTATCACCTTCGTACCAAGGGCGCCCCCTAAAGGGCTTCCCAGACACAAGAAGCACTGCAAGAAATTTGCCATTTCCATGCGGGGGTCACTCCCCTCCCCCACGTCAACAACAAACGTTAATTCTCTTTTGTGGGGAGGTGCAGAAGGCCTAAGGGGGAGGGGATGGAATCACAGACATTACGCCAAGCCTTTTTGCAAATCAGTCAGGTTCTAATTTATGCTCAGGCACCATCTGGCGTGTGTGTGAAACTGTCTCCATGTAAAGACGACTAGCCTTCATGTTTGGGGTGGGGGGGTTGCTAGGTGTGACAGACATGATAGAGCAAAGAGGTGCCCTGAGGCTGTCAAGGAGGGGGGGCAGCCTCCTCTGTCATTGTCAGCTGTCACCCCCCCCCAACAAAGGAAATGTTGCTGCTTAAAAAGCAGCTTCACACATTATGAAGAAACAGAAGCAGAGGAGAGCATGGAAGAGCTGAAACTCAATGCAACTGCACAATCTGAAACCACAAGACTCTCTGAAAGATGCTTCAAAACCGCTTTGAGTGTCCAGTTTCGAGTGCCAAGAAACCCATAAGTGAGTGGCGAGGAAATTCTGATCCAGTGTCCAAATGTGGCCCTCCATATCTTTCTATCAGGCCCTCAGGGCTCTTCACAAGCCATGTCCCCACCAGCCCTGCTGCTCTGTGGAAGACCCAGCTACTGCCTCCTCCATCTGGGCCAGGGAGGAAAGGAAGGCTTGATGCTGGCTGATGCATTTTTCACACAGAGGAGAGGGAGATTCCCTTTGCTACAGCTATCCAAAATGAGTAATTGCTCCCCTTTGAAGCAAAGCCCATCACTCTGGGACATCTGCTCTCTCGGAGAGCCAGGCAGGTAGTGGCATTCACAGCCTGTCTATACTGAAGACACATTCAGGGAGCCGCAGTGATGTCAATCAAACCTTTGCACAATGACTCTGACAGGCAGGGACCAAAGAGGGAGAGGAGGCTTTTGGAGATTCACACTTGGCTCCACGAAGGTGGGGGCCGCAGCCCCAAGAGAGAGAATGGAGGGGGGGGGAGAGAACTGGTGTCTCCAGCCATTCAAAGAGAGCTCTATTCACAAGCTGTCGCTTCAGCCCGCAGGCAATCAAGATGACTGATCTCATCAAAGGTCAGCGGACCAGAGGTGAACTTTCGGAGGCACCGCAAGGGAGAGGAAGCCAAGGAAAGAACGCAAGGCTGAACCAGAAGGACACGGGTTCAGCAGCACAACCGAGGGAGCAAACAGGCCCACCTGCCAAGCTGTGAAAAACACAGGGGGCCGCGAACAGAGAGGAAGGGTGCCCCAGAAGGTGCGGTCCAACTGGCTCATGCTAGCGAGCCAAGTTTCATGCTGAAAGGGCAGCCTAGCGGGTTGAAGATGGGGCTGTGTGTACGCTGCATGAAATGAAAAAAAGAAATCCTATCCCTTCGGGGAAAGCTGGCTTCTGCAACATGCATATATTATGCAAATCTTGCAAATCAGCACGATCCCCAGATTTTGCATAACTATGCCACCTTTGCTACTTTGCATAATTTATTCTAGTTTTGCTTGTCATGGAAAGAGGGCGGGAGCTGCAGAGGGCACTGAGGCCCCACCGTCACCCCACCCCCAGGAAATCTCATCCAGCTACTTCTCCCTGCTCCAGCACCTGAATACTCGCCACGTTTTTCCAAGTCTCTTTTTGCAACCAGAAGAGCTAGAAACTTCCCCATTGTAAAAAGCAAAAGCCAAGATTCTGAGGAAGCTGGATCCTGTTACCTCTTCTTCTGTCATGCAAAACGAAAACTCTCTTTACTATTTATTATTTTTATTTTTATTTTTATTATTATTATTATTATTATTATTATTAATTGACCTTACAGGATCTGAGGGTGAATTGATGCATATGGTTATGGCAAGCTGTGGCAGAAGAAGAAGAAGAAGAAGAAGAAGAAGAAGAAGAAGAAGAAGAAGAAGAAGAAGAAGAAGAAGAAGAAGAAGATTTGTATGGCTGAAGTCCCGCTAGGAAATGTTCAGTGTGGTGTAGTGATTAGGAGTGATAGACTCATCATCTGGTGAACCGGGTTCGGGTCTCTGCTCCTGCACATGCAGCTGCTGGGTGACCTTGGTCTAGTCACACTTCTCTGAAGTCTCTCAGCCCCCACTCACCTCACAGTGTTTGTTGTGGGGGAGGAAGGGAAAGCAGAATGTTAGCCGCTTTGAGACTCCTTTGGGTAGTGATAAAGCGGGATATCAAATCCAAACTCTTCTTCTTCTTCTTCACTGCCATGCCTGGCAGAGCCACAATGCCATAGGTTGTACCCAATGCTAGCCCTACTCTTGCTTTGCAAGGGGTTGGACTAGATGACCCTTTGCACCCTTTTCCACCTAAAGTCAGGGCAACCAGCTTGGTGTCCTCCAGGGGTTGCTAAACTCCCATCATTGCTGCCCACTGGCCAAGCTGGCTGTGACTGGTGGCTGCCCACCCTTTGATTACAGCAGCATGGACCATGATGGCTAAAGCAGCAAGATATAATGTGGTGCCCTCCAGGTGTTGATGGATGACAACTTCCATCAGGTGTGTTGCCTCTGGTGCTGAGTGATCTCAAAGAAAGACATTCAAGAAGCGACCAGTGAACATTATGATGACTGGGGAAGCAGAGAGTTAATAGGGGAAAGGTGGGGATGGGGAAGAGTTGTTCATAAGATGCAAGTTTATGGAGGAGAGCAAGTCCTTGGCCAGGGCTCAGTGTTGCTTTTTGGCAGAATTAATAAATAATACCCACTTAATTACCATTTTGTAAATACAAGAAACACACACACACAAAAATCAATATCAGGAACTATCTTTGCATCGAGATGGTTGGCCTCTGCTACATGCCGTTGTAATAAATGCATCTTGGCGATATAGACCCTTTAAGATAATTTATTTCTTCCCTGCAGATGATTCACCACCACCGCTCCAAGCAGAGACACACAGCCCTTGATGAGCACAGAGCAGGCCAAAGTAAAGCAATGCACCTTCATTCTGTTACATTTTCTCACCTCACACCCCATACAAGCTCAAGGCCATGCTGGCTGAAGCTGGTGGGAGTTGTCATCGCAACTCTGGCAGATTAACACATTACAGAAGGCTGCTCTGAACCTCTTGTCCAAAAAAACCCCAACAAACTTTCCCCATCATCCTTGGTCAATGGGCTTGCTGTCTAGGGCGTTGGAGAGGCCAACTACAGTTGGAAGACTGCAGGCTTCCTTGTTCTTTCTCTCATGGAGAAACCCTCCGTTTCCCCCAAGTCAGGAAGGCTGGAGTTTGGGAGTGAGATGATGCTCAGAATTATATAGAAGCTGGAAGCTCACATGAGAGCACTGCTGCGCTCAGAGTTCAGGTTGTGGGTTTCCCATTGGGGCATTTGGTTGGCCATTGTGAGAAAAGGATTCTGGACTGGGTAGGCTTACAATATGTCATTCATGTGCGCTCTTCTTATGTTCTTATAGTAATTATGGGGAAAGCTCCAGTTAGAATTTTGGGAAGCGTCCATGGAAAAGGAAAGCCATTGCCTATGGCCCAACACTTTTCATTTAGCTTTATTTTCTTCTATGTGTTACCAACAAGTGAGGAGGAGATCATTTAGATAATACTGCCAATTAATTAGTAAACAGTTCAGTCTGGGGTAGATTACTTCCCCCCAATTTTCATTGCTCTTTCCCCTGCCCTCTTCTAATCACCAAAAAAAGAAAAAGGAAAATCCTTCAGGGGCATTCAGTCTTTTTATTACTATATGATGAGTTTTAATCCAATGAAATTTTCAGTAGGGGAAAGCATGTAATCTAATTAAGAGACTCAGGCTGCAGTTTAGCTGGACTCATTAACTGCAAGATAAGAGATCCCATCATTACAGAGACAAATACCGCCGCCCCCCTCAAGTGCACATCCGAAGGCCACTATGCAAACTGATTCTGCTTGGAACGAACGGGGCTATACCGTTTAGTCATGCACACAAGCATGAAACAAAGGGATTTGGGGGAGAGGGAGAGAGAGATTGAGAGAGGGGGAGAGAAAGGATGAGAAAAGCATCCCAGGAAACCTGGCTTCTTTCTGCAACTCCTCCTTTCCTATAACATCCAGCACCTCAAAAATAGTTTAAAGGGACTTCTTGGCATCATGGGTTTGGGAATCACCAAGAACATGGACGTACTGGTTGTAGGAAACTTACCCCTAGTATATATCAAAAAAGGTAAAGGTAAAGGACCCCTGGACGGTTAAGTCCAGTCAAAGGTGACTATGGGGTTGTGGCGCTCATCTTGCTTTCAGGCCGAGGGAGTCAGCTTTTGTCTGCAGAAAGTTTTCCGGGTCATGTGGCCAGCAGGACTAAACCGCTTCTGGCGCAATGGAACACCGTGGCGGAAACAAGAGGACATGGAAATGCCGTTTACCTTCCCGCCGCAGTGGTACCTATTTATTTACTTGCACTGGCGTGCTTTTGAACTGCTAGGTTAGCAGGAGCTGGGACAGAGCAACAGGAGCTCACCCCGTTGTGGGGGTTCGAACTGCCGACCTTCCGATCGACAAGCCCAAGAGGCTCAGTGGTTTAGACCACAGCGCCACCCGCATCCTAGTAAAAACGCTTGGTTCATCTAGTCCCTTTTTGGTATGAAGAAAGTGAGTAGAGGAAAGGTTTGCTCCCTTTCTCGTAACACTCAACCTCTCTCATAGCTCTCAGACTTGGGGACATCCAATGAAGCTGAATGATGGAGGATTCTGGACAAATCAAAAGGAAGTCCTTCTTTAGGCCGCACATAGCTAAACAATGGAGCTTGTTCCCACAGGAGGCAATGGTGGCCACCAACTTGGATGGCTTTAAAAGAGGATTGGACAAATTGTGAAAACAGGATGCTGGACTAGATGGGCCTGATCCAGCAGGCTCCTCCTATTTTCTTATGCCAGTCATTTTCAAATTGCATTCTGCAAAACCAAAGTGTCTCTTGGAAATATATTTAAGGCGCTCCTCCATGAAAAGGTAACACATATGTATTGCAACAACTCAACCCCACAGAGGACTGCTGGGTGTTTTCCAGGGTGTTTTCCCAGTTCACCACAGGGTGGGGATGGGGGAGGGGTTACAAGAGGCCTATAAGCTCTTCTTGAATAGACATGGGGCCCTACAACGTGCTCCAGCACTGTCTGAAAGAAACAGAATTTTGTCATGTTGCACAGTGGTTACGGTGTCAAGAACAGGAGTGGACAGACTTGGGTTCAAATTCTAGCTCATCCATGGAAGAGAGGGCAGAAGTCCCATTGCACTAGCAGGACTTGTTACGATGGCTCCCAAGAGTACACCTGAGTCATTTACAAGGCTTATCGCCGAAGAATTGATGCTTTTGAATTATGGTGCTGGAGGAGACTCTTGAGAGTCCCATGAACTGCAAGAAAATCAAACCTAACCATTCTGAAGGAAATCAGCCCTGAGTGCTCACTGGAAGGACAGGTTGTGAAACTGAGGCTCCAATACTTTGGCGACCTCATGAGAAGAGAAGACTCCCTGGAAAAGACCCTGATGCTGGGAAAGATGGAGGGCACAAGGAGAAGGGGACGACAGAGGACGAGATGGTTGGACAGTGTTCTCGAAGCTACCAGCATGAGTTTGACCAAACTGCGGGAGGCAGTGGAAGACAGGAGGGCCTGGCGTGCTTTGGTCCATGGGGTCATGAAGAGTCGGAAATGACTAAACGACTAAACAACAACAACAAATACTAGCATGAGCACCTTGACTTGGACCCAGAAATAAACTGGCAACAAATTTTTCTGTCATCTCTTTCTCTGCAGCATGCACCTGCAAGGAGTTGCAGCACAAAAAACCTGGAGGGTACCAGTTTGGGGAAAATTGCATTAATCTATGCTGGAAGCTGCAATGAGTGGCACTGGTTTTTGCAGAACCATTTTCCAACAGGGGTTTAACGCTTTTGCTTCCCAACTGTGGGTCAAATTGACCTCCCTTCCCTGCACTTTGAGGTAATAAGTGTCCTTGTGACCGACTTCCTCTGAATCCGGGCCTCTTATCTCGCCAGGGAAAGCAAAAAAAGACCAAAGAACCACATTTTCATGCCGTAGTACAGAGTGGTATTTGTGTGGTGGAAATAGCAGGCCTGGGTGAGCCTAGTGTGAAAATTACTGGTCAGTGGGTTTCGGTTTCTATGGAAATAACAGGCAACAATACAGAGAGAAATAACAGAGCTGGAGGGATAAACCCTGTAGCTTCATATAATCTCCTTAACGTGATATAACAGTGTTAAGTATATTAACAGATGTGTATGAGCTTCAAGAAAATAATAATAATAATTGTTGTCATGATCCAAAGCTCCTCCAGGGTCCTGTTGGGCCTACAAGCATGTGGCGATTCCTCTGAGGTACAGAAGACATCGACTGAAAACATAAGTTCTGCCAGCCATATGGTGAAATGCTACTAAATTAAAGGGCTTCTGAGCATGTAGAGAGTACCTACCCTGTACAGTGGTACCTTGGCATCCCCCACCCAGAGAATCTTAAGATCTACACATAAGCAATTTACCTGTTGTTGTTCTTTAGCTTAATGTGGTCCGTAGGTTCTAAAATCTGCCCGTTCTTCAGCCACGTTATCTGTGGAGGAGGTTCCCCCTGTGCCAAGCAGGTAAAGATGGCAGTGGTCCCCACGGGCCTGGAAATAGACTGCGGGTGCTGTACAAATTCTGCAGGAGCTGCAAAGACAAAGGAAAACATAGGCTCCATATCTATCTATCTATCTATCTATCTATCTATCTGTCATCTGTCTATCTATATCATCTGCCTATCTATCTAGGAGTGGAGGAGGCAGAAAACTAAGCTTATTGCAGAGGTGAATGTTTTCCTGTGCTAGACCCAGATAAATGAATGGGAGCTGCTGGAACTGGCATCACCATGATGCCCAGGAAGATGCCAGGTCCTAAGTGCCCTGGGAGGGGCCTGCATTGGCCTCCCTTTACGAAGAACATTGTGCCTTCAAATACACATGCATAGAAAGTTGCATAAAGAGCTAGAGGGTTATATAGTTGGACCGGCACAGCATGATTTCCAGCCAGTCTTGGCTCTGCCACCAATGACCTGGAGCACTCAGTGGGGAAATAGACAGTGGCCACACATACAAAAACAGTGTGCTCTTGTGATGGCTGATTTTGAGAAGCGTTCCCCTTTTTCTCTATCGCAACCCATTTTCACCATTTGTGGGAAAGCATTATATGAACAAAATTACCAATGAATGAATGGCATGATCTGGAAAAGAATGCCCAGTCCTGTAATCCCCAGAGCAGAAGGAAGTGAATTTAGAACCAGCACCACCCCTCCTATTAACTCAGGCAGGGAGTGATGTAGTGGGTCCAGCTAGTGGTGTGCAGAAAAGGGAATTTCAGCACGTAGAGTTAGTTGTGCAAAGTACATCTCTCAAACAACAACAACCCCTTCTTCTATCCAGCTACTAAAGGCTCAGGAGCCTTGCCTTCTTTTACATTTGGCCTCCCTAGAGGGCTCACGGCACTGTAGACAAAAAGGGGCAACTGGGAAACAAGAGGAAGGTATCAGCATACTTGTGGAGGACCAGCATTTCTGTCCACCCCCTCTGCTTCAGTCAGAGGATGCTGGTGCCCATCTGGATATTCACCAGCCTGTCCGGTCTCTTATGACACCAAATGGCTAATTGGAAACAACAGAAAGGATGGGTGGTTGGGAGGGATCCCTGTTTCTTTGCAATCTGTTCTTCTTTCTCCCTGCCTCAAAAAGAAACACCCTCTTCATTTTGTCGTTGTATGTCTTAAGTTGTTAACCATTCTCCTATACGGAGCTTGTTCATTTGCGACAAGGGATGAAAATGAGACTCCCAACATCTGAGGTCAGAGAACCAAAAGGAATATAGGAAACTTGTCTGCTGCAGGGATCAAAGGAAGGAGATCAAAAGGACTCTCTGAGAGGTTCAGAGAAGGGAGACAGAAGAAGCTGGTTTAACATTTAGTACAGGGAGATGTTCCTGTCCTCCCGCCCCCAACTGAACTTGATTATAATACCACTGTGTTAAATTGGCTTAAAAGATAATGATTGCTGGGAATAAATAAGCATTTCGAAGGTGCTTTAACAATGAAACCTTCTTCCCTGGGAACTCTGGACACTATAGCTCTGAGCGGGCAATACAGGATTCCAAACCACTCTCAGCACCCTTGGCAAACTACATCTCCCAGGATTCTTTGCAGGGAGCCATGACTGCTTAAAGTGGTATCATAGCACTTCAAATGTATGGTATAAAAAAGGTAAAGGGACCCCTGACCATTAGGTCCTGTCGTGACCGCCTCTGGGGTTGCTTTATTGGCCAAGCGTACAGCTTCCAGGTCATGTGGCCAGCATGTCTAAGCCGCTTCTGGCGAACCAAAGCAGCACATGGAAACACCATTTACCTTCCCACTGGAGTGGTACCTATTTATCTAGTTGCACTTTGACGTGCTTTCGAACTGCTAGGTTGGCCGGAAAATGTATGGTATAGATGTGGCCTTAGTTGGATGGGCAAGATTCAAGTGTAATGAATGAATGAATGAATGAATGAATGAATGAATGAATGAACTCCTTTGCCAGGCTAGTTCTATGCTACTGTCAAAAGAACAGTTCTTTATACTTTAGGAAAGAATGCCAACTTTGCAAAGGGAGCACCTAAGCTTTCTGAAAGTGTAGAAGGAGTCTGTTATCATCTGATCAAGGAAGAGAATGAGTGGATCACAATAAGTAGCTAACAACTGGAATGAGAGATTTTCTGTGGGTACAGAAAGCAGCAGCTACTGCAACAAGAACAGGGGAGGGATTCTTTGTTTGAGACCCCCAGCCCTTCATGGGAACATGGAAGTATGTGCCACACGTAGCTCAGTACTGCCCACACTGACTGGCAGTGACTCTCTGAGGCTTTTCAGGTAGGGGATATTTCAAGCCTTAACTGGAGACGCTAGGAATTGAACCTGAGACCTCCTGCATGCAAGGCCCTTCTCCCCTTTCCTTCCTCACTCTCTCCCACTTCTCTGCAATCCTGAGGCTTTCGCATTACACCAGCAGCTTCTGGATATGTTCCAGAGACTCCCTGATTTACTGCTCCAAACCTTCAACCAGCCCACTTGTGGCATGAGTTATTAACAAGCATTTTGTTTAACACCTTTTGCTTTCAGGATGTCGTTTGTGTCTACCTGAGAATGTAGTGTGTGAGCTGATGAAAACCAGCAGATGGGTATGCCCCAGACCCTGTGGTGCCTTCAAATCAGCAGCCCACTCACTGCTGCAGAAATAAATTATTCTGAGTGTCTGGGAAAGGGTGAAGGATGAGGAGGAGGACACCCTAACATCAAGGCTGCTGAACGGGTCATCCTCTGTCAGCAGCAGCCATTCCTCCTCCTCCTCACACTCTGCTTCTTTCGTTGCATAATGGTTCCTCCAGCCCAACTGCTTTGAGAGCTGTGTTGCAGACAGAGGATGGCCGACCTTTCGCTCACCTGGTCAACCGCAATGAGTAAGACTGCAGCTGCACACACACACAAACACATGCCTTCCCTCAAAGGCTCTTGGGAACTGTAGTTATCACAGACCCACAATTCCCAGCTCCTCAACAAACTACAGTTCCCAGGATTCTTTGCAGGAAGCCATGTGCTTTAAATGTATGGTGTAAATGCAGCATAACTCTCCAAGGGATGTGGGGAGCTGCCTCATATTATGTCAACGCATGCAAGCTCAGGCTTGTCTACATAGGGGATGAGGAACGTCAGGCCCGGGGACTGGATGTACCCTCCAAGGCTCTCTATCTCTGTTTTGTACCCTCTCCTTGAGTGTCTTTGCCTAGCTGGAATTTTGTCCTAGAATTTTTGTAATGCCTCACCCTTCCCTAGATGGGAGGATAGAGAGCAGCTTTCAAAGAGGATTAGACAAAGCCAATCAATGGCTAGTAGCCACAATGGCTAGGTTTACCTCTACTTCAGAGGCAACGCGCAGGTGGACAGAGTGCTGTTGCGCCCATTTCCAACTTGTGAGCTTCCCACGGGCATCTGGTCTGCAGCAGCGTGATCAGGATGCTGGCTTAGATGGGCCATTGGCCAGATCCACCAGGCCTGTTCATAGAGGTGTATGCAAATATGAATGGAAACCAGCCTACCATACAAAGCTGAAATTGACAGGAATTGCTCCATCCAATTTTGGCTCTGGCCCCACCCACCGCTGGCATGTGGGGCCCAGAAGGTTGCCCAGGTGGAAATGCAGCCCTCGGGTCAAATTGTTTTTGTTTACTTCTATATGGGGTTCCAGCACCTCTCAGGTAGGTGCCATTGCTCTGATAAGAGAACTATGGGAGTCATTCATGGTGAGTTCCAGCACCTCTTTTTCTAGAAAATAGAACTGCTTATATATTAAATTTGTATCCTGCTCTTCCTCCCAAGGGAATTTGGTTCAACAGTGGATCTACAGTGGCAGCATCTCTCCTGGCTTTTAGAGAAGGGGTGTTCCCAGCCCTGCCAGGCCTTCTGCACATGTCATGTGCTCTCTGTTTGTTCCTATGCTTGTTTTCTTTCTAGGCCGACACTGACTTGGGGATGGTTGTTTGGAGGAATCATTTGCAAACGCGCACAGGATGGCACCAAGTTACTGGAGCTCAAGGGTCTGGCTATAACGGGGGCTATAACAATGTCGTTTGGAGGCAAGGATGTTAGCAGAAAGAGATCTTCTTCCCCACTGCCCCAAAGGGAAAAAAACCTCTTGCCTGGCCATCCCTGTGAAAATGGCCAATTAGGCCGCTCAGGTGGGAGAGAGATAATTTGAGATTCAGAGGCTCATCAAACCGAGCGGTTAACGAGGGGAGCTGATGAGAATGCGGGCTGCTGGAAACGGGCTACTTCAAAGGCGAAGCCGAGGGCTCGTAATCAGGGAAAGGATTAACAGCATTCAATTCTGCGCTGCCAGCTGTGTTGCTCCCCTTTTCTCTCCCCATCCCTCCCCTCCTCAAACCCTGGAAAAGGCGTTCTCTGTGCAAAAACTTCACCATGGAGACTGGACGCACAGCAAACATTTGAGAAAGTCCTTTTGGGGCAGCATTGGCCAAGGTCATTAAAAATGGCTTTTCAGGTCTGCCGTTAGGAGGATTTTGCCTTTGGTGGGGGGAGAGAAAAGCCCCCACATTTCCCTGGTGCACAGGCCACACAGCAGAGGGGTTTAGTCACAGGGCTGCAGCTACAGGAGAGCATGGAACTAAGCTCTCTCACTAAATTTTCAGCTTCATTTTTTTTTTCCTTTCCCCAAAACAAAGGGGAAAAATTAAGCTTCTAGCCCCTTTACATAGGGAGAAGGAAGGAGGTAAGGGCAGACAGCATTAAGAATATAAGAAAAGCCCATCTAGTCCAGCCTCCTGTTCTCACAGTGGTCTGTCATAAACCTGCAAGCAGGATTTGAGCACTGTAGCATATACCCACCGCTGAGGTTTCCAGAAACTGGTATTCAGAAACATTACTGGCTCTAAATGTGGAGGTAAAGAACAGTCATCATGGCCAGTAGCCATTGGTACCTTTCTCCTCCATAAATTTGTCTAATCTGAGTTAATCTGAGATTCTGTCCTGAATCTTCCAACATTCGACTCAGCCCCTGACTGAGTTCTAGCGTTATGAGAGAGGGAGAAAAACTTTTCTATCTCTGCTTTCTTCATGCCATGCAAGATTTAAAAAACAAACAAACTGTTATGCCTCATTTGCCTTTTCTTGAACCTAAAAAGTCCCAAATGCTGCAAGCTTTTTTCATAGCGATATTGTTCCCTCACCTCAGTTATTTCGGTTGTCCTTTTCTATCCAATTGCTCTGCAGAACATCAACCTCAGTGCTCTCTGGTCAAAGAGTACAGAACAATGCCAGACTGCTGAAGGTATTTTGCCAAGTCAAATCTTGTAGGTTTAAGGGATGTGGCAAGAGGCCCAGCACTTGGTCCTGAAATTGCAGTCTGCGCCGAACGTTGCAACACGATTGCTGACAAAAGTGAGGCCCTGTCAGCGTGTTAGACTTCTGTTCAGAGAGTTGCACTGGCCACTGATTTGTTACTAGGTGTAATTCAAGGTGTTACGCTTAGTATATAACAGCTTGGGAACAGTTTGCATGAAGGATCACCTTGCCCACTTAACTGTTTTGGTCTGTGGAACTGGCATTTTTCAAGTGCCACATAATGTTTGCTCTTGCACTTGCAAGCAAGCAATCTTTCACTGTGGCACCCTGTGAATGTTGGAACTCCCTGCCCATTTACATGGAAAGGAGGCACATTTTCACCACCTGCCACAAACATTTCTTTAAAGCAAGCCTACCCAGACATGTAAATTTGGCATGAATTTTACTGTGTAGTTTTATTTTATAATGTAGATTTTAAAACTGATTTTATTTCGAAAAATAAATCTTAGGCTAAGGTTTTTTACTGGCTATTTTTATAAGTAATTTTAATTTTGTGCAAAACTACTTAGAGGTTTTGAGGATTAATAAGTGGTATATAAATGATCTTTTCAATAAAACAAAATTAATAAATACATTTAGGCTTCCACATCACTCCCTTGTTACTATCACCACATTTTCAGCTGCAACCCTGTTTAGGTGATCAGAAGAGGAAATTTCCAGGACACAGTTATACTATTTTTAAAAATGAAAAATCCATTCATGATGAGGAAGCAGACACTGGACATTTCTTCATGTGACGCCAGGAACACTCTTAACTTGAAATGCGCTACTTGTAAAATGTTGCTAATGAAGTATAGGAAGTGAAAGAGGCCATTTTTAAAAAACTGAGTGTACATGCTAGTCAATGTCACTCTTCTGTTCTAGCTGAAGGAAATCCAAGGGCACCATTTACACTTTGCTTCACTTGTGAAAACAGCCATTTGGTGTCTTAGCAATTGAGGGATCCTGATCCTGACTGGCTTACCTTGCACCACCAACCTTCCTTGGGCTGTCCGCCTCACCCTCGTGCCAGGCTTATTGGCTGCGCACACGTATATCCCAGAATGCTGCACAGTGAGGTCAGAGATCATCAGGTTTCCTGTCCCAAGGACCTGAATTCCTTCAACGCCAATCGGTCGGCCATCTGGGTTGGAGAAACGCAAGAGCAAATTACACCCTGGGTCTGTCTGGTATTTACGGTGCGAAGGAGCCTGGAACTCTCTCTCTCTCGCTCGCTTAATCTAGCAAGGCATCATTTTCCCTAGAACAACCAGGCTCACTCTAAGGGACCAGAAATGGGATGAGGAGATATGCTTCCCTTATGTCAAACCCAAACTCTCTTTCGAGACAGCCCTGAACAGATTTTAGCTTTCAACTTCAGTTGTGTTTTTTTAAAAATCATTAATAAATTTTATTTGAATGCCACATGAGCAACAATAGTGCACATTACGTTATGCTGTTGAGATATGAGAATTACTCATATGTACAAATCTCAGCAAGTATGTAACATTCTTCCTGATTCAAGATAAATAAACAAATATAATAAAGGCACAAACTTAAGTTCCAATAAATACTGTTTAGAGACAGCTTTTGCCAACGATACCAATCTTCAAAGCATCAATGTACTTCAGGCATAAACAGTTTTTCACTTTTTATATACTTCTCCCAAACTTTGCAGTTTTCACAAGGCCATATAATCCTCCTCTTTTCCCAAGAGGAGCGTAAGCCCACGCCACCCCCTTTTGCCCTGCCCCCATTCCACCCCCATTTCTGGCCACTTCCGGATTGCCGCAACCCAGGCATGCGCGGTTGCACATCCATTGGACGCACATAAATTGGTCGTTGCCTGTATTTTAAAGGTGTAGTCATATGCCCAGGTTTACCGTGACCACTGAATTTGGTCACACTGGATGCTTTTACCTATTATTAGAATGATGTGAGGATGAGCACTTCTATATTTGCCTATTAATACAACATAAAAAAACCACAATTTATATGACTGGTTCTATATACTGGGTTTCATACACCTCTTGGAGATTTTTCTTTCATATTAAACCTATATAAATGTGGTTCCTGGGAGGTTGCCCATGGTGGATTGCACCCCTCAGGCTGGGGAAAAAAGAAGGCCTTTCTCTGAAACCTAACTACTGGTTCCATTTCTATTAAGTTCTTTTTGCAATTCAGAGCATCCTTCAAAAATGTTGTCCATTTAATAATTACAATCTGCCTCTCACAACTTTTGCAGCAGTTCCTTCTCTCAACTTCAGATATATACATCATAATATATGTTTTTTAATGCAGTTGTAGAGAAAGAAGGTGTTTCATATTTGTATGGTGCAGTCAAGGTGCCAAAAGGTATTTAAAGCAAGCTGCATTGCCGTGGTCAGGGCAGCAAACCACAACAAACAGAGCACATTGATGTGGCCTTGTGTGTGTGTGTGTGTGTGTGTGTGTGTGTGTGTGTGTGTGTGTGTTAAAGCTTCTAAGCTTGGCTATGGTTGACAGAGGCAGTGACCCCACTCTGCTCCAGCAGTCCTGGGATCAGCAGGGCCTCCATAGCTCACCAACCAGCCGTGAGGGATTAGAAGCTAGAATCTCATTAACTAGCAGAGAGAGATTTAGCACTGAAAATGAAAGGGTGAATTCGCTCTCCTATGGAGAGTCAAGGAACATCTGATCCTGCTGGTTCTGAGAAACATGTTTATGCTACGTTTAAGGAACATGGCTTTCCTCAAAGAATCCTGGGAACTGTGGTTTATTAAGGGTGCTCAGAATTGTATGCTTGTGTGAGAGGTAAACTACATTTCCCAGGATTCCATGGGGGAAGCAACGTGCTTTAAATGTATTACGGGTATGCAGCCTGCATTTCAGGGACATAGAGAAGCGGGTGTGAAGAAACCACAAGAAACAGAAGACAAAAGCATTGCAGAGGGTTTAACTAGATGATTCTCTGGGTCCCCTCCAAAGCATTTACACACAAAACTAGCAACTTCTTCCAGCTCACAAGGGTCTTCATACCCTCAAACCAAATTCCTACCTAGTAGCAACTACAATATGCTGTATGTACCGTATTTTTCATTGTATAAGATGCACCAGACCATAAGACGCACCTAGTTTTTGGTGGAGGAAAACAAGAAAAAAAATATTCTGGATCCCAGAAGCCAGAACAGCAAGAGGGATCTGGCTTCTGGGATAGCCTCTTGCTGTCCTGGCTTATGCGTTACCCGCACACAGCCTTTCCCGGGCAGGGGGATGAAGGCTCCCCCAAGAGCCGTGCTCCCTTTAAAGAGCGTGTGGAGCGTGTGTGCGGCTCTTGGGGGCTTTTCCCCGAGGAGGGAGAAGGGAACACGCTCCACACACTCTTTAAAGGGAGCGCTGAGCAGAGCCTCCTGCCTGCATTCACTCCATAAGATGCACACACATTTCCCTTTACTTTTTAGGAGGGGAAAAGTGTGTCTTATAGAGTGAAAAATACGGTAACTTTGCCCGCACTGAAGTAATAGCAAAGCTCTCCTTTCTTGTGTATGGATTCTGACACGAGGGTAACCTCTGGTCACTTACCAAGTCGACTCCAGGAGACGATAGGCCTGGGGTTTCCAGTTGCAATGCATTCCAGGATGGCAGTCTGGTGCACAGTTAAGGTCAGGTTCTCTGGTCCCACGAGAATCATGGGATCCTTGTACACGGGAGAATGAGAACCTGTGCATGGCAGACCAAGCATTAACATGAGACATTCTGAAATCAAGAAGGTGCATCTGTATGTGTATATATACACCTCATTGCTGGCGCAGGTGCTCCGAGTGTAAGGTTTCAGAAGTGCTGTGTCACGTCAAGGCTAGAGCAGAGCCGCAGCTCAGTGGTAAAGGATCTGCTTTGCGTGCAGAAGGTCCCAGGTTCGATCCCCAGGTAGGGATGGGAGAGTTCCCTGCCTGAAACCATGGCGTGCTTCTGCCGGTCATTGTGGCACAGTACTGAACTAGTTGAGCCAATGGCCTGACTCAATGGCAGGCAGTTCCTAGTGTTCGTATGAGAAGGCAGCCATGACCCAAACCTGCCTGCCTTCCCACTCACTGCAGAGGCTGAAATGCTGCAGGGAGGAGGTTCTCTTGACCAGGAAAGAGCACAAGGGGCTGACTCCTGGAATTTATACCAGGCTTGGCCAATCAGGAAGCTTCATGCTGCCTGCCAGTCACAGGAGCAGACGCTGCATCAGGCTATTCCCTTCTACAGCTGAAGGGGGCACTTCCAGGCAACCTGTTCATTGAGCAGGGAAATTGGACAACACTGGCTATTTAATGATTCTGATTTGTTTGTGGGGGAGGTTACACAACCTTGCATCAAAGCAAGTGTAATTCCACAATTTTCAATGCACTGCCCTGTCGCTTTCCTCGCTGCAAAAAGCCTGATAATTTGGGGAAGCAGGTTTGTTGCACAAGACCTCCCACTCAACTATAATTGGGCAACCTGAATTTGCTGGGATGCGATTCAATCCCACCCTAAAACAGCAATGATCTGGAAGCTGAAACACCCACAACACCCTAGTTCACTAGGTTTGGCTCCCGTGAGCAGATGTCCACAAGGGTTCCAAGGTAAAGCCACGAGGCCCGACTGGTTTATTATACAATCTTTTAAAAGAGTCAGTGTGGCATAATAATGGTTAGTGTTGGACTGGGACGTGGGGAGAGCTGGGTTCGAATCCCCACTCAGCCATGAAGCTCAGTGAGTGACTCTGGGCCACTCAACATCCCATCTCTTAGCCTAACCTACCTCATAGGGTTGTTATGGTGATGAAATGGGAAGAAGAAGAACCATGTACACCATATCTTAGATCCTTGGAAGACAAAGGTGGTGTTTAAATGCAACAAACAAACAAACAAACAAACAAACAAACAAACTATGCCTCTAAATCCTACACTGCATGCTGCCTTATACTGAGTCAGACCAACTAGCTCAGCCCTGACTGATAGCAGCCCTCCAAGGATTCAGGTAAGACTTTTTTCCAACTCCTATCTGGAGACGTCAAGGATTGAACCTGGTTCCTTCTGTATGCAAAGCAGATGTTCTATCACTGAGGTAGGTCCCTCTCCCCTGACACCAATTCACTTGCCGCCCTGGACAGCTCCCCTTGGGATCACCTTAGCTCTAAGATTAAGCTGTTGGGAGAGCTGCTTGCTCGGTCAGGTTCTGCTCATCACCAAAAAGCAAGCAGTGTCAGCTTGGGCCGCAGAGGCATGAAAGGAATGCCGTTTTTGGCCGGAGGTCAGCTTTGCCACAGACCAGAGATGGAGGTTTGACTCATTCCTCCTCCGAAGGCTGGTTTCCAGGACATGTTGGTAAGCAGGTGTGAACAGCCATTTGCTAAGTGGGTGTCAAGGCTCAAGGGAGGTGGGACTTGATGGGGAAAGCAGCTTTCAAGAGGGTGCCAGAAGAAGGTAATGTGTCCCTTTGGAGAATAGGGCCAGGCCAAGGCAGGCCGATTTAGCATCCTGCCAGGCTCAGGACCAACAGCTGGTCAAGTTGGGCACTAGCCAAGGGTCTTGGGGGGTTCAGACGGAGAGCGCATTTGCAAGCCCAACATTCCTGAAAAGCGAGAGAGACTCATGAGGGAGCATGTCGTGCATCATCTTTAAAAGCTTAGTGGGCAGGATGCAGAAAGTGGTGGGACATTTCCATTGCTTTTGGTCAGTTCTAAATACCCTGTTCTAAATAGTGGGAAGCGGGTGGCACTGTGGGTTAAACCACAGAGCCTAGGACTTGCCGATCAGAAGGTCGGCGGTTCGAATCCCCACGACGGGGTGAGCTCCCGTTGCTCGGTACCTGCTCCTGTCAACCTAGCAGTTCAAAAGCACATCAAAGTGCAAGTAGATAAATAGGTACCACTCCGGCGGGAAGGTAAATGGCGTTTCCATGCGCTGCTCTGGTTTGCCAGAAGCGGCTTAGTCATGCTGGCCACATGACCCGGAAGCTGTACGCCGGCTCCCTCGGCCAATAAAGCGAGATGAGCGCCGCAACCCCAGAGTCGGTCACGACTGGACCTAATGGTCAGGGGTCCCTTTACCTTTACTTTAAATACCTTGAACTCCGGGACTCTGTGTCTGCTGCTGAACCTGTACCTTTTACTTGCCCGAATTAAGGTATCTTTCTTACTTGTACGTTAAGAGCCTTTGCCTATGTGTGATGAGCAGGAGCCAGGACTGTTGGGTTCTGCAGAGAAGTGGCCTTCAGGTCCCACCAGTCTGCGGTGTTTGGGCATGAGAAAAGATGGGCCACCCCAACCACTTTGCTGCCTTCTCCTCTCTATTCCACTTGAGGAAATGGATCCTTAATTTCCATCGAAGCACTTTGCACAAATTCAGGGCTCTCGGGTAGGATTCTGGCTGCAGAATTTCACATCCCCTGCTGAGAAGCAGCCGGCTTTATGGAGCAATGTGTTCAAGGAATGTCAACCATCTACTGCTTGCCCCTGGCAAAACAGCTCTATGCACCTGCACTGCAGAATCCGGACACGGTTGTTGTTTCAAGACTTTTGACAGGTTGACAAGCACAGTGGGCACAGCAGGCAGGGAGGGTAAAAAAAGGGAGCTTTGTGAAGGTAAGCTCTATCTTCTCAGTAGTCTCCCAACCAGTGACCTCCAGGTGTTTTGCATTCCCAGCAGCCCCAGCCAGCACATGGTGTCCAACACCATTCCAAGCACCAGTTTTACTGCAGCCAAATGAGTTGCATTAATAGGCTGGCCTGGTAGGAGATCAGTGGGACAAACCACCTGCTTCTGCCCCCCCTCTGTCCCACAAACACACCAACCTGACACAGTAAGCCTGGCTCCCCTGCTGAACTTCACATTGGCAATGTTGGTGGCAACACAGTGGAAGATCCCAGTGTCTTCAGCTCGCAGTCCAGTAATCTGCAAAACGCCCTTGGGCAACAACGTGTACCTAAAGGAGCAGGAAAATGCAAGGGAAAGAAAGTGAGGGGGGTTTTCAGCATAGTAGCGGGTACATGGGTATTTAGAGGTGTAAAGGTCTGCTCCAAAATGAGGGGGCAAAGTATTCTGCACCAAACTGCAGGTGGCTGGTGATGTTTTGAATTCTTCCTTATGGTTTTGTTAAGGCTCCTTGCAAGTAGAAATCTAGCACATCCAGCAAAGAACCCTGTTATGTTAGTTTTCTGACTGCAAGGGGGTTTTTTTCTTTTGTTTTCACATGGTGGACCATTCAGAGTTGGCATCCAACACCTCCAGTATGTAGTGCCGTAGTCCATTCTGCCACCTCAGCATCCTGCCCCCTATTCGCCTGCATACGCAGGCCAGATCGAACTCTGCTTCCAAGCAGGTGCCTGAGGGGCATACTGATAAATGATCAGCGAAAGAAAGAGATGAACAATCACATGGTATACCTGATCTCATAGTTCAGAACTAAACTAAAATACTATTTTTTTGTATGTGGTAAGCATTAGCTGAATGAAAAAGGGATTGTTTTGATGATATTCTATGCATCTGTGTATGTATTTTATGGATACAGCTCTTTACTCTGGCTTTTGACACCCAATATGTATATTTTTAGGATCCACCTTATGTCTATGAACTATTTGAATTGTTTTTAATATTGTATTTTAATTGCTATGAACTGCCTTGGAACCTTAAGAGTAAAGGGCAGGTAAACAGCAGCAGCAACATTTTAATATTTGCAAGCTACTTTGAAGGCGCTGCTATAAAGCAATCAATTTGGGGCATGGGCGTAGCCAGGATTTTTGTTAGGGTGGGGCAGAACCTCAATTAGCTATGTATTTTTACTGATTAAGGGGGGCAGCTGCCCCCCCCCCGCTCCTCCCCTTGGATACACCTATGATTGGGGGTGGTGGAAATAAATGGATTGAAAAATTAACAAATAACTAAGGAATGAATAATCCTCATTGAATTGTGATAAGTGGGGAAAAGGCAAACAGGCAGTGGTACGACCCTGCAGCCCTACCAAGCCAACAAACACAAACCTGAATTGCAAAATTTGTTCTGCGAACGTGCATCGAATGAGGACACTTGATTCTATGAACACAAAAAGAGCCTTGCCAGATCAGGTGGAAGTCTCATCTAGTCCAGCATTCTGTTCTCGTGGCAGCAAACCAGAGGCCCATGGGAAGCCTGTAGGCAAGACCTGAGCACCACAGCACTGCCTGTCACCTGCGATTCCCAGCGATGGGCATTCAAGAGGCTTGCTGCCTCTGACAGGGGAGGCAGAACATAGCCATTGTGGACTAATTCTCCTTCAGGGAATGGTCTTAACCCCCTTTTCAAGCCATCCAGTTCGGTGAATGTCGCTGCCTCTTTGGAGAGCAAATTCCACTTTGTGCCGCGCAAAGAAGTTCCTTCTTTTTCTCTGCCCCAAATCAGCTTCATTTCAAATGCGCAGACACACACCCTGGGATTATCATGGGATGTTTTTCACTGACCAGTTTAATTGCCTCTGCGATTGGTTGGGGGACAGGTGAATGAAGGTAGGTTATGAATTGGAAAGTTCCCTTGCTTATTTATAATATCAAGCTTAGCGCTGCTATTATTCTGGAACACTGGTTTTCAAAGCCTGCAGCTTCGGAGAAGCTTATCAGGGGTTTGCCAGATCAGTAATAGCTGTCTATCTTCCCTGAAAGTCAGCTTGCCAACCACAGTATTTTCCTGAAAGGCTCGGCAACAGGGGGGGATGCCAGGCATGTTCTGGAGCACAGTCTCAGTTCAGTGTTGAGGTCCAATCTGTCCAGGCAATGGCAAGCACAGGGTTCCCAAAAACATTTCCCAGAATCCTCTGCTGCATCCAGGCCTTGCCATGGGTCCAGAGAGGCTCATCTCACTTCCAGTTTTTGGGGACCCTAGCTACACTAAAAAAAATATTTAAAGGACAACCCATGAAAACAAAATAAGGCACACCTCCCTCCAAAAAAAGAGAACAAGGGTGAGTGGTTTGTTTATATAATCAGCTGATCTGAGAGGATACATTCATCAGGGTCTAATCTTGTGCCATCAAATATATTTCTATTGGTTTTCATGAACATTTTAATTTTAACTCTTTAAAATCTATTAACAGGTAACAAAAAGAAATCCCTTTTAACAAATCACATCTCTCACTTGCATAAATTTGTAGCTCTAAGCTGAGAGGGTTTTGTCACATTTTGATCCAATGCACATGAAAAAAAGTTGTGAAGCTTATCAGATGCCAAAAGATTAATGGGTGTCTAAATCGGAGGCCCCCTTTGAGGTCAAGGACCAGACTAATTGGATCTACCTCCCCCAGTTGGCCCCAACTGCTTGGAAGGGTTTTAAGAAATCTATATTTTAGTGTGGTAGCAGCCCCACTTTGGAACTCCCTGCCGATTGACGCCAGGCAAATGCCTTCACTGTACCCTTTTGAGCACCTGCTGGGAACATTTTTGTCCAGGCAAGCCTATCCAGACATGGAGAATGTTGGCATGTGTTTTAATCTGGATTTCAGTTTATTGTGAATTTCAATTAATTTTTGGATACTTTTGATAGCTGTTTCTAACTGCATTTATTTTACTGATAATTCAATTGTTTTATCCTTTTTGTAAACCACCTTGAGGCTTCATTACAATCAAGCAGTATATAAATCTTGTGATATAAATAAACGACGGGTTCCACAGTAAATATGAAGAACTTTCCACCTGCAAGGTGTTTCTGAATAGTGCAGAGTTTGAAAAACACCCCTCCTGCAGCACTCGCAGCCCTGTTTGGAGGGAATTGAACCCACTGTCCTTACCTGTCGTTTTCTGTATTGATGGGGAGATGGTTCTTCTGCCACATGATCACAGGCTCTGGCAAGCCATGGATCTGGCACTGAAACCTGGCCACGCCGCCTTCTTCCACCACTGCACTCTGGGGGTGGATGTGGAAGTCAGACATAGCTGAAAGGGAAAAGGAAGGGAAAAGCTGAAAGGAAAACGTGGGGGGAAATGTTGTCGAATTCTACTCCAGATCCAGAGCAGAACTCCAATGTATAGTTAGCAGAGTAAAAACTTTGTAGGATTCCCCCCAAAAAAACAGATCAGAGGCAATTGTATTTCATCCAGCAGAGCTTTACTGCTACTGAAGCAAATGGGCATAATGGTCACAAATCCAATACATTCAGGATTGGCACTGTCCATAAGAAATCCAGCTGCAACAGACTTAACTTAAACTTACAATAAGTCTAAACCTTAACCCTAACCATGTACAGAACACCATACCAGAAGGAAGAGAGATAGAAAGAGAAAGTGAAACCTAGGCGCCTTCTGGCCCTACTTTTATAGTCAGCATGACCTTGACTGAAAGAGATACAGTGGTGCCTCGCAAGACGAAATTAATCCGTTCCGCGAGTCTCTTCGTCTCTTCGTCTTGCGGCTTAGCGGCTATTAGCGGCTTAGCGGCTTTAAGAAAAAGGAAACAAACTCGCAAGAACTCGCAAGACGTTTCGTCTTGCGAAGCAAGCCCATAGGGAAATTCGTCTTGCGGAACAACTCAAAAAACAGAAAACTCTTTCGTCTAGCGAGTTTTTCGTCTTGCGAGGCATTCGTCTTGCGGGGCACCACTGTAACAGAATCAGTTTAAGCCAGCTTTACTCAGCTTCTCTGAAGGAATAACCCAAATATAATGAACCTTCTGCTTGTTTCCTTCACACAGAGAAGCTTCCAGAAGCCTCTTGAATTAAGTAGAACAGGAAAGATCTCTACGAATCAGATCAATACTCTCTGCACTAAGAAATGTGAACTGAAAGTTAATTCTGTATTTCAAATTCTGGCACAGCTACTGTCAAGAGCAATCCAAAAAATGCAGCCTATGTCCATCTTTGCCAAGCTACTACCCTCCAGATGTTACCAACAGCTAAATCTCCTCAGGGATTCCTGCTATGGAGATTCTCAGGAATATTCCTGCTCTGGGGCCAGGACATGGAACATAAAAAGAGCCTGCTGGATCAGGCCAATGGCCCATAAGTCCAGCAACCTGTTCTCACACCGGCCCAACAGTGAGAAGCCAGCAAGCAGGAATCAATCACAAGAGCAATTTCACCTCTTGTGATTCGCAGAAGCATTACTGCCTCCAACCATGGAGGAAGAGCATAGCAATCATGGCTAGCAGTCCTCTCCTCCTCCAAGAATTTGTCTAATCCTCATTTAAAGCTGTTCCAAGTTGGTGGCCATTACGGCCTACTGCGGGAGTGAGTTCCACAGTTTAACAACGTGGTGTGCAAATGAGTTCTTTCGTTTGCTCTCAGCCCTTCAACATTCAGCTTCAAGTTCAAATATGATGAGAGAAGGAGGGGAAAAACTGGTTTCTATCCACTTTCTCTACACCACACATCAATTCATGCATCACTATGATGTCTCCTGTTGCTCAATTTTCCCCTAACCTGAAAAGCCCCAAACGTTGCAACCTCATGGCGAAGTCGCTCCATCTTCTTGATCATTCTGGTTGCTCTTTTCCCTGAACCTTTTCCAACTCCACAATATCCTTTTCCAGGATATTTCCATCCGTGCTCGTAACTCCAAAACCAAAAAGCCCATCTTTAAACTGTGCCTTATCCTCGCCCCCCTGCCAGCCTCCCCTTAACACAAAATGCCTCCTGGCTGCACATTAACACACACACACACACACACACACACACACACACCTCAATCTCCTTCCTTCAACACACATCAAAGATAATACATGTGCATCTCTTTAAGGGAAAGAACCAAAGACATGTCAGGAAGGATCCATCATTCATCTCCAGACTCCCATTGGGCTCCGACAGATGGGAGACTTCTTATTCTGCTTCATACATTAAACATGGGCCATATCACCCTCCTCTCACGCCCCTCTGTCATAAGCTTCAGCTCACTAAATAGGGAGGGTTTAGAAAATACAACATGCTGATTGTGCTTTTAAGGGATCCACCGTTGTTCCTCTCCGTCTTTTAACAACAGGAAAAAAACACCAAAAAACAACCCTGGTTTCAACTGGATTTTAATGCCATCTGAGAGCATTTTATTAAATTATGTAAGCTTCTTGAGCACTAATTACATTTTATTGTGCTAAGAAAAGAGCTTTGAGCAGCAACCAACCAAAGTGGAGGTAGAATCGGAACATACTTATTGTATTAGCGCTCAATACTATTATACAATAGGGAGGCTCATAAGAAACATCACTCTATTTTTAGCAGTGCTCTTAGTAAATGTTTTTGTTAAATTCTACAGTCTAAGTTGTAAGGGTAGCTGGAACTGATCTGCCAGGACATAGTTTTATCCTCAAGCTTTTTTCCATTGTGCTACACATTTCAGTGAAATGTTTTCTGGGTTAGGGCCCCTAGCAATGATTTCTGAATTGTTTGGGTAACCCGAGTTGCATGGAAGCTGATCAGGGCTTTGCGAATGGAAGTTTAGGAATGGAACCTAGGAAACTGCCTTATTCTGAGTCCCTCTAGCTCTGTATTGTCTACACGGACTGGCAGCAGCACTCAGGCTGGGTTCTCACCTAGCTCTGCCTGGAGATACTGGGGACTGAACCTGGGACCTTTTGCATGCAAAGCAGAGATGCTGTATCTCTGAGCAAGGGCTGTTGGGGCTGAGTGTGTTCTTGTTCTTGGGGCTGAGTGTGTTCAAGCAGGGTAACACTGAGGCCCCAAACGATGCCCCATGTTAATTGTGTTGGCACCCTAGAACATTGAATACCACTAGAAGACTGAACACCATTGCTATTAGTTATATTCATATGAGGAATGAATAACCATCACAGAGCTTAAAGACTTCCGTGAACTAAATGGTTTGGCTCCAGGTCCAAACACAAAGCAGGCATGCCAGAAAAAGCCCCCCCCCCCTAATGATTTGCAGGGACCAAAGCAAAACAAAAGCAAACCTCAACCACCCCAAAACCATTGAAGTTCAGAAGGCATAACTGCTCTCTAGGAATCCCCAGGATAGAGGTCCTCCAGCTGGCAAAGGGTTAACCGGAAGGAGAGCTTTGTCAACAAAAACAGCCCCCGAGTGAAGAAATGGGATCTCTGTCACTTTATTTCAATAATATCATCTCTTCCAGGTAAAATTGCAGCAATAACCTCTCCTCTTAAAGACACTGGTATTAATATTTATCATGAATAAAACATCGGGAGGGCATAAATAATTCATTGATGAGGATGTTAAGTAAAATAAGGGTTTACAGTGACCCTATAATGTGGTTTTAAAGCACAGTTTTGTGTCGGATGCAAGAGGAAAGTCCACAACCCTCACCAAAGCGATTGGGTGTTTTGTTTTTGATAATTTGTGTTTTCAAATAAATAAATCATGCCCCATGCTACAAAATGTTCTTCTCCTTGTTTTTAAGAACATGGGTTTGGCAAACTTTATTTACAGCTGCACAGGCAGCCATTCTGAGCAACTGTCCTGCAGCTCAGCCCCAGGCTCCAGCAGCAAACCATCGCTGGTATATTCTGAATGGCGGGTGGCTGGTGGTCCCATCACTGCCGTTACCATGAGATTTCCAGTATGGCTGTGTCAGAAATGCACTGGAAACAAGCCAAAACAATGGTGTTCGCTAATTGCTCACATCTCCATTTAAATTCTCAGGAACATAGGAAGCTGCCTTATACTGAGCACTGGTCCATCTAGCTCAGGGTTGTCTACACTGACTAGAAGCGTAGACTCTCCAGCATTTTGGACGCAGAGCCTCTCCCAGCCCTACCTAGAGATGCAATTGGAGATTGAACCTGAGACCTCCTGCTTGCAAGGCAGATGCTCTTCCACTGAGCTACGGAACTTCTCTACTGACTGATCAATGAAAGTAGCCTTCCTCAAGCTGACACTCTTCATAGGCTTTGGACTGCAGGAGCTGATGGAAACTATAGTTTAAAACATCCCGAGGGCACCAGATTAGAGAAGGTAAAGGTAAATGTACCTCTGACCATTAGGTCCAGTCGTGGCCGACTCTGGGGTTGTGGCACTCATCTCGGCTTTATTGGCCGAGGGAGCCAGCGTACAGCTTCTGGGTCATGTGGCCAGCATGACTAAGCCGCTTCTGGCGAACCAGAGCAGCGCACGGAAACGCTGTTTACCTTCCCGCCAGAGCGGTACCTATTTATCTACTTGCACTTTGATGTGCTTTTGAACTGCTAGGTTGGCAGGAGCAGGGATCGAGCAATGGGAGCTCACCCCATCACGGGGATTCGACCCGCCGACCTTCTGATCGGCAAGTCCTAGGCTCTGTGGTTTAACCCACAGCACCACCCGCTTGGATTGGAGCTGACCTAAAGATTAAACCAATTCAAGATCATACCGCAGAAATGCTACCTTGTGTGGTTCTCTTTCCACACCATAAAAGTAACGCATGCAACACCTGTCAAACAGGGGAGAGGCAAATCAATGGCTACTAGCCATGATGGCTGTGCTCTGCTTCCATGGTTGGAGGCAGCTATGCTCCTGAATACCAGTTGCTGGAAACCACAGGAGGGAAAAGAGCTCTTGTGCTCAGGTCCTGCTTGAACGTTTCCTACAGGCATCTGGATAGCCACTGTGAGAACAGGATGCTGGTGTAGCATTGGTCTGATCCAGGAGGCGTCCTAGGATCTAAACTGGCTCTGGCATATACGGTGCCCAGTGCTTTCTGATCACTGAGCATATCATTGGGTTCTGGCGGACTGGTTTCCTTCACTACAGATGCAAAGGCTTACGAACAGAGCAATAAACCCTTCTATCCTCTCCCGTTTAAGGGCCAGGTCACAGCTCCATCCATATTCATGAGAGGTTTATTCAGGCAAACAGCTTGGTCGGATCCCCCTTAATCGAACCACAAGCCAGCTCATGAGCCTGATGACAGCGGCAGCAAATCTGATATAATAAAGATGAAAACAGGTATTGAATAAAATTTTCTTTACTCCACGAAAAACTAAATTGAAGCCATTAGGAGGCAATCCGTTTTCGCTCAGCGGAGCATTAGCGATAAGGAGGAGGCTGGCCTCGATTTGGTGTGGGGAAAGGGAAACATTAACTCAATATGTCACAGTAAATCCAAGGCCTGTTAGGATCATTAAAGCACAGGCCCTGGGATCAACAGCAAGCAACGGAAAGTGGGGTGTGTGTGCAGCAGAGGAGGGATGAAGAGACAGAGCTGACACCAGGTTACAGGGGGATCTGGGCTAAGTGACCCTTTAAGTCCCCCAGGGGCACTAGGCACCCTCACAACATAGGACATAAGAAACACTTGCTGGATCAGGCCTATGGCCTGTCAAGTCCAACATCCTGTTCTCACAGTGGCCTGTAGAAAACCCGCAAGCAGGACCTGAGCACAAGTCCCCTCTCCCCTCCTGTAGTCTCCAGCAACTGGTATTCAGAGGCATTGCAGCCTCTGACCATTGATTTCATAATCACTTTTCATTAATTGAGAGGGCATCTGACAACACCCCCTTGCCAGCATGCAGCCCGGTAGAAGACTGTCTGTGAAGGGGAATATATCTGTCAGGGAAGCTTGCCCAACCATTAATTACCTTCCCTGAGGGTCCTCTGAAACACAATTTGAAAACCACGGATAGTGAATGTAAGAACCGTCATAGTTGCGGAGAACAAAGGTCTATCTTTGGGTAGCCAATATGGCGCTCTCTCATCATCCTGTGACCATCGGCCATGCTGGCTGCTGGGGCTGCTGGGAGCTGGGTAGTCCATCAACATCTGGAGAGCACCAAATTGGCTACCCCTAGTCTATCTAGTCCAGCATCCCACAACCTGACATCCTCCAGATGTTTTGGACTACAATTCCCATGGAGCTGATGGAAGCTGTAGTCTAAAATAGTTTTGAGGGCTCCAGATTGGGGAACACTGATCTGATCTTACATCCAGGTTCACTAAAATGTTCAGCCATTAACTTTGTGCTGTGGCTGCAAACATGTGCTTGTGGCTCAGACCGATTTGAATCATTTTTATTTTAGTTTATTATTTCTTACATTTCTAGGCCACCTTTTCCTCCAAGGAGCTCATGGTTCTCCTCCAACCCATCATAATCTCACAATAACCCTGTGAGGTAGGTTAGGATGAGAGACAGTGACTGACCCAAGGTCATCCAGTGAGCTTCATGGCTGAGTAGGAATTCGAACCCTGGTCTCCCAGGCTGTGGTCCAACACTTTAACTGTGATGCCACGCTGGCTCTCATGTTTCCAACCTCCTCAAAAAGAGGAGTATAAATGTCTTATTTATGCATTTACTTACTTACTTACTTACTTACTTACTTACACCTTTTTCAGTAGGGTTGCCATATTTCAAAAAGTAAAAACCAGGACACCTCAAAAGTTGTTGAGCTAAAAAACCACCATTTTTTGATTGACTTGCCTAAGATCCAGGACAAAGCACCACATTTCAGAAATCCCCCCCCCCCCGGGTATCATTTCTGCCTTTGAAATCCCGTTACTGTCCCGGAAGCCCTATTTTCAGTAATATCCCACCTTTCTTCCACCAAGGAAGCCAAGGGGACCCTGGAAAATGCAGTAGAATTAATGTAATGTTTAATAGTTGTGTGTGAACAGCAAAGGAGAAAGGTGTGCTCTCTCTCTCTCTGACTCCCTTGGCCATTCATGGTTCATGAGAATGCAGCCTTCCTGTAGAGGGCAGGGTAGGGCGAGTGAAGGGAAACTTTTGTCTGCAGTCGTATTAAATTAGCAGCATTATAAGATCAGAGGCTGAGCATCATTTGCTCTGGAATCCTTCCAGATGGCAGAATTGGTCAGGGGTGTTTGTGTGTGGAGAAACTCCTTTCTGCAGAAGGCGTCATTATACAACATGCCAATTAAACAGACATGGGAGCCTTTCAAACACATGCTTGAAAGTAGAAGATGTGAAACACAACCTCCAGCGTCCATTAGGCTCCTTAAATTGTTGGCATTCTCACACTCAACAAGACTCACCCCTCAACTGACCTGAGTTCAAATAGCAAAACGCCAAGCTTACATGCCCCCCCCCCAAACACACCTCCACAAACACACACATTGTAACAACATGAATCAGGGCTGGCCCAGTACATTTTGCCGCCTGAGGCAACGGACAAAATGGAGTCCCCTCTCCATGTACTGAATTTGACTGAATAAACCACTGAATCTTGTTTCCAAACCCTGTCAGCGTTGATAACATCCCTTCAATGCACCTGAAGTCAGGAGGCTAATTTAGGCCGCTATCACAGCATATGTTCAAAACACCCTGACACCATTTTTAACAGCCATGGCTTCCCCCAAAGAATCCTGGGAGCTGCACCTTGTTATGGGTGCTGAGAGTTTTTAGTCAACCTCTAATCCCCTCACAGGGCTACAATTCCCAAAGTTCCTCATGTAGAGAGATTGAACTGTCAAACCACTTAGGGAATTGAAGGTCTGCGAGGGAATAAGCGTCTTCTCACAACTCTCAGCACCCTTAACAAACCACAGCTCCCAGAATTCTTTGGGGGGAAGCCATGACTATTTAAAGTGGCATCATAGAGCTTGAAATGCATGGTGCGAATGTGGCCCAAGAGGGTCCATGGCAGGCCCACATAGCTCTGATCTCCATAGCATGATCATGGAGTCAAGAGGAATAGCTGGTAGGAGAAGAGTGCTGCCCCAGCCCCAGTTTCTGTCACATGAGGTGACTGCCTCAGTCTGCCTAACGGTAGAGCCGGCCATGCCATGAATCTTGCAGCCTGAGCCACAAGGTCAACCCAAGCTATGGAGAGTCTGGACATTGACTGCCTTATACATCAAGCTCAGTATTGTTTACACTGACTGGCAGTGGCTCTCCAGGACTTCAGGCAAAGCACACCCACTCAAGAATCCCAAGAACTTTAGTTTGCTAAGGGTGCTGGGAGCTGTAGATCTCTTAGGGGTGAATTACGGAATTACTAGGGGGTAATGTGCTTTAAATATATGGTTTGTACGCACCCCTTATCGGAGGAAGGTGGGGGAAGAAGTGATTTAATACAGTCCCCCCTCCCTTCACACTCTGGAACCTTAGGATGTGAAAGCAGTTGGGAGATGAAAGGGAGGGAAAGAGTTTGGGGACGGAGGAGAAGGGAGCAGAGAGGCTTTGTCTTCTTCCTTCTGTGACCCTCTGCTTTGACAATCCCAATGGTTTTTACAAAGCTTTGAGGGCATTCAGAAAGTGACATTGTATCTTCCTTTTGCATCCCCCCCTTTGATAAAAAAAGACCCTCTCCTCCATCACTCAACCCCCTCCCCCCACCAAAAGGCTCCACTCCTAGAACAAGGGGCTGCTGGCTATTCAGGGAAGCTCAGTGGCGGCAAACTGGAGACTCGCTCTCCGTGTCTAATGATGCTATTGTCCAAAGCTGCCACTGCCAGACCCCAGAGCCCGGCTCTGAATACTCCCTTCTCTATGCGTAGCCAAGTGTGAACGACAGCGCCGCCCATTTATTCTCCCAGAGTCCGAGGAATAGGGGGAGGGGGGAGGGGGAGGCCGGACTCCCTAGTGCTGAAAGGGAAGAGAAAAGAAGGATTTGAATATAATAAAATGGCGGGATTTTATTTTTTTAAAGCCATATAGGCTCCTTTTGCTGTTCTTTGTCCTTCCACGCAAAGAAAACATGCCTTTGCATGTTTTCCAAGAGGGGTTGAAATGCTAACATTTCTTCATCTTCATCTTCATCATCTTCTTCTTCAGCATCATCAAGACGAGGTCCATGACCTGAGCAAAACAGGCTTAAAAGGCTGCTTTTGCCATTTTTATAATACGAGCATATTTATTGAAATATTTATATATCATGACCTATCGGCGGTTCGAATCCCCACGACGGGGTAAACTCCCGTTGCTCGGTCCCTGCTCCTGCCAACCTAGCAGTTCGAAAGCACGTCAAAGTGCAAGTAGATAAATAGGTACCGCTCCAGCGGGAAGGTAAACAGCGTTTTTGTGCGCTGCTCTGGTTCACCTTAATCATGCTGGCCACATGACCCGGAAGCTGTACGCCAGCTCCCTCGGCCAATAAAGCAAGATGAGCGCCGCAACCCCAGAGTCAGTCACGACTGGACCTAATGGTCAGGGGTCCCTTTACCTTTACCTATTACAAAAGCATCTGAAGGCAGTTTACAATATATCCCATTAAAAATGCCACCCCAACAAAATTAATCAAGCAGTGTTATCAGTCAGCAGACAACCTTAATAATAACAGGACTAGGTGGGTCACTGGTCTGATGAACCAGGCTCTTATTCTGATATTAGATTAGGAACATGGGAAGATACCTTATTCCATGTCTTGCCATTGTTCCATCTAGCTCAGTATCGGTGGCTCCCCAGGATCTCTCCCAGCCCAACTAGAGATGCCAAGTTTTGAACCTGGGACCTTCTGCGTACAAAGCATACGCCCTGCCACAGAGCTGCGGCTCTTGCATTTGTTAAACTTTAGAGAGGTGCTGCCCATCAGTGTGGACCTGATTCCTACAACTTCTTGTTGCCTGGACCCAATGGAATTTGCAGCCCCAAATATCCAAAGGGCACCAGCTTGGCAAAGGTTTCCATAGCAATTACAAGGCACAGCACCTCTAGGAAAGACCCATTTAATTTCGCACATGCCCGTCGATAACACCATCAAAACCCTTCCTGGTTCCCAATCAAGCCTAATGAATTTTAAATGGGAGGGGGAAATTAACTTTACATTGTCAATCCTCACAAGTCCACAAAGCAATCATTTCCAATAATAGACCGCAAGCTTTCAGAATGCGTTTGCGACGGCATCCTTGCAATTAGCTCACTAAATGTCTAACCCAGCTTTGTTATTTTCCAAGAATTGCTTCGTTCGCTGCTATCAGAGATAGCAGCCTTGCTCCGGGGTCTACAAGGATTTTGCCCTTTGTTCTTTGGTGGATATCCAAGTAAGAGGAAGATGACACACCGATGAATGACAAGCCAGTCTATCACCGCACACTCCACATTTAATGTCTTCATACTGGCTCATTAATTACCACGGAAAGCTCCTTCCCAAATGGAACCTGTGATTTATAGAACGCTCGGGCAAGGTGCCATTTTCATCAGGCAAACAGCCAATGGCGTCGCCAGAGTTAATTGCCTTCCGTTTTTTCCCCTTGACAATTGCAGACGTCATCTTTGTTCTGCTCTGCCTCCAATAAAGACTAAGGCTTGGTTCGATCGTATTTCCTGGGAGGTGGGTGCTGTCATATACCGGAAGGGTCTGCCCACCCCCACCCCCTGCCCACAAGGTCAAGTGGGAAAAGGGTACAGGGGACCTTGGCAGGGTTGGGAGTTTTGCTGAGAACAGGTTGGGCCAAGGCATCAGACCGATGGGGCAAGGCAAAGAATAAGGTTGGAGGAACATACAGAGAGGACAGTCAAGCCAGTTCACTGGTCCACTTAGCTCAGTACTGTCAACACGGACTGGCAGAGACTTTTCAGGTGGGAGCCTTTGTCAGTCCTACCCTATGTCATGAACTGCCCTAAGGTCTACGGATGAAGGGCAGTGTAATAAATAAAGAAATATAGAAATACAGAAATAAAAAAAATGAAAATACCTGGAGGCACCACAGGAATAGAACCAGGAATGCAAAGCAGGTGTTCCACCTTCCCCTTCCATGGGCATAGCCAGGATTTGTTTGGGGGAGGGCAGGCTTTATGTTAAGGGGGGCAGAACCAAGTTATATGTGATTCAATTGGTCAGTCAGTTAAGTAATTTTATTTATTTACTTGTTGGGGGGGGCAGCTACCCCGCCCCTGCTACACCAATGCTCCCCTCCCCTCTACATCCCTCAGAGTTCAGTGACTCATACTAGGAAAGGGGGATGCGAAACAGGTCTACTGAGGGGCAATAGGGATGGAAGAGAAATTCAGTCCAGTTTGCATTTAAAGCCAAAAGCTGGATTTAACAATTCCATTAAACAAGAACTGAAATTGACAGATTCTTCAAGATAGCTCAGTTGATAAGAGCGTGGTGCTGATAACACAAAGGTTGCAGGTTTGATCCCCATATAGTGCAACTGCATAGTCCTGCATTGCAGGGGGTTGAACTAGATTATCCTCAGGGTCCCTTCCAATTCTATGATTCCATTCACAGGTGTGTGGCTGGGGAAGATTCCAAGGGCCAGACAGAGAACCTTGAGGGCCTGAGGTTCCCCTCCCATGGCCCGGTCCACTGAATTATATTAAGAGGGAGAATATGTAATCCAACATCTCCCAATATTGCTAATCTTATTTTCTACAGGTTGAGTATTTCTTGCTTTCTCCCTCTACGAAGAGCTGCAATTACTTTCTCATAGCTAAGCTGTGCTTATCCACTCTCTTTGGCACCTGTAACTACTCCTGCATTTTGCTGGCAAAAATTCAAGGGAGGTTGAATCAGCTGTTCCTCAGAATATACAGCATATCCCTGGAAATAGGTCATATGACTCCATACATTGGGGGAGGGGGAGGGCATCTTGTTCTATTTATTCACTGGGAAAAGCCCTGTTGGTTGAAAATAGCTTGTCACTAGAAGTTCCCTCTTCCGCCTGTGCTGGCTGCCTTATGCTTCGGTTGGCCGATGGCCAAATCCTGGTCTGCCTGAACGAAGAGGTTTCGTAGCTCTCCAGCATGCAAGCTCAGCTGTTATGATGGTAAATGCATTTTGATGTTTTCACTGATCTCTCTCTGGTCTGTGCTTCTGTGAAATATGACTTTTGAAACCAACCCATTTCTGATCTTCGGTTGGGAGTGCTTTGGATGGAATATGTCATAGACTATTAAATCATCAGCGTCGCTGCTATAACTACTGGAACAAGCCTTTTGCCTAGATGCTAAATTAAGCCAGGCTGCATATACTTTAAGCCAGTGATCAAATCTCACAACCCCACCAAAAACAAACAGCAGCAGTTAGCTGCCCAGTGTGTTAGCGCCCCCTCTGTTAATTTGGCACCCCCCTCCTCCAACTAAGGCAGATTTCAAAAGCATGTAAAGGAGACTGCTCTACATATGAACTTTGCTGTGATTTTTCCATGGGAAGGTTTATAGGGGGCAGGGAATGGGGTCCTCATATTTCTATTCTGCAGGGAACCTGTGGTGCAAATTGCTTGCCTCATACAACATCATGCTTATGGAAATGAGCTACGCCTCACTAGAGCAGGGGTCAGCAAACTTTTTCAGCAGGGGGCCAGTCCACTGGCCCTCAGACCTTGTGGGGGGGCGGACTATATTTTTTTGAGGGGGGGAATGAACGAATTCCTATGCCCCACAAATAACCCAGAGATGCATTTTAAATAAAAAGACACCTTCTACTCATGTAAAAACACACTGATTCCCGGACCATCCGCAGGCCGGATTTAGAAGGCGATTGGGCCGGATCCACGCACCCCCGGGCCTTAATTTGCCTACCCATGCACTAGAGGCTCACATATCTATTTGGTAGTGAGGAACCTCCAGTTGAAAAGAAGTTCTTCCAGCAAATGTATAGTCAGCAAACGATGTGGAGGCATTGTGTTGAGGACAGTTTTTTTAGAGAGATGTAATATCATCGGTCAACAAATCATTCAGTTCCCAGAGTTAGCTTTACTGAATATATTTCAGGGTCAGAATACAGCTCACTTCACTTAAATCTCCTATTGGTTCTCCATTGTTAGCAGCTAGACTTGTTATAGCCCAATTTTGAAAAGACTTGCAAGGAGCATCCTTATCAAATTGGCTTAATAAAGCTTGACAACTGGCCCTAATAAGAGAAACTGGCCAACAAAATATGACTAACAAAAGGACCGAGACACAAAGCCTGATTTACAACTGACTGGAACGGTTTTGCATGAATAAGAAAAAAAATGCTAAACTTTCCCAGACAGCCAGACTTTTTGGGTTGCTCCAGGTTAAATCATAGTCTACACTCTCAGACCCTCCAAGTGTCCCTATTTCCCAGGGACAGTCCCAGATTTACAGAAGCCGTTCCAGATTCTGATTTGATCCCAGAATGTCCCACTTTTCCTTAGGATGTCCCTATTTTTATTGGAGAAATGTTGACGGGTATGGTAGGACATCCCTATTTTCATCAGAGAAATGTTGCAGTGTATGGAGTTATGCGACCCCCGAGCCAAGGAGATAAGTAACAACACAACCTATACAACAGGGAAGTTTTTTAAATGTTTAATGTTTTCTTATGTTTTTATATATATTGGAAGCTGCCCAGAGTGTCTGGGCAACCCAGGCCAATGAGCAGGGTAATAATAATAATAATAATAATAATAATAATAATAGGACGTCCCTATTTTCATTGGAGAAATGTTGGAGAGGAGGGTCAGTTTTGGGGAGTGAGAAATATCCTTATTTTCATCTGAGAAATGTTGGAGGGTATGCACTTTAGACTGCTGGGTATTCTTACGCTGTATTTTCACCACATACCTCAATATTTATTTTCGTAAGGGTGAGGCGTTATTTTCAAAAAAAACCAAGAACACTGGTTTTTTTTAAGTAAACAATGACAGTAACTTGCTTTGTTAATCCATGCAAGCAACAGCAACAACAAAAATTCCATTCCCACAGCCTTCACCAAGCTGGTGCCCTCCAGATGATTTGGACAACTCCCAAAGCTGTAGCCCAAAACATCTGGCCAGCATGTGGTTCCAGAAGGCTGCATGACTCTTATGAAGGCTATCTGAACAAAAGTTTGCCTATAATAGCTCCCTGGGACACCCACAGAGACACTTTAGTTAACTTGTTTATGCCATGACACTGGCAGCAGAGGGCAGCCCATGGGCTGAAGCCCAGGCTGTGTGGTGCCTAGAGGCAGAAAGCAAACTTTGCTGCCCCATCTCAAAAGTATATGGAGAAGGAGCAAAAAAAAAATCACATGGCACAGTTTGCAAGGAGCTGAGGCATTCCAAAATGGCAGCCACGCTCAGGCTAAAGAAAGGAAAGGCGAAGACTGCAGGCAGCCCCTCTCTCCTTTGTCAGGAGGCACAATGCTCGTGTCAACAGAACCGTGAGCCTGCTCTGACTCTACAATCCACCATCTGGCCGGCTGGCTAATGCACGCCCACAGCAATTCAGCTGGGTAAGGAAGCCACAGGGGAAATCAAGCCCAGCCAAGACCGATGCTTTGAGCTATATATATAAATTAATGCAGATGGTTCAAATGCAGATGGATCACCACTTGGATGGGGCCAGCACTGGTGACCTGCCTGTCGAGAGACGTCTGACCATGAGGCACTAAAAAGAGAGGGAGGGAGGGGAGAGAGGAGGAAGGGGAGGGACCGAGAGGAGTAGGAGGCTCACAGCTTCCCACTTAATAGCATTGTCAGGGAGCATCAGGGTAGCTATTTCCTATGAGAGGGATCTGGCAAAAACATGCAAGGCTCTACACATGCCAGAGGATATCTGAGCATTCTTCTGCAGCTGCAGGGTCAGAGCCACACACA